CTATATCTTGTTTGAAAATATATTGATATATCTTAAAAACTCGATATATCGCCCAGCCCTAGTTATGATTGACCTTCTGTTCACCTGTTAAGCAAAGAAGACGATGCTGAGGAATAGCAAACAATGAACATCACAAACGTTCAGCTGCTTAAGGAAATGTACGTGAGACAGTCAATTAAAAAAATGAAAAGAGTTCAAAGAGTTACGCCCAAAAGTAGAAGTCATCAATATCTACTCTGAGCAACAAAACAGAGACGCATCTGACAAATACTTTATATACTTAAGGGGAAACTATTCTTACAGCGTGTCCTAACAGCATGCAGTGCAAGTCATCATAACAGACAAAATCAGCTCGATTCCATTGTTTCTTACTAGAGTATCCTAGCAGAGTTTTCCCGCCCCCTTTCTGTTCGTGTAAACATGTGGGAGGAACAAAGAACGAGTGAGCTCATCAAGGTGCTGGGATACAAGATTTTCTCTCCACTTCCTCACTCAATAGAACTTGAGATCCAATCCAATAGAATCGGATTTCGTTTTCTCCCTGATATCGGTATAGGCCCCAAAAATCCTGTATCAGTCGGGCTGTAATACATTTATACCGATGCTCAGTGGCAAGGCACTATCTGCCCGATATATCTGTTACTACCAATACATAGTTCTGTTGTTTGTCTCCTGTCTTGTTTTTGTTTTTGTTCAACCCATTCAGACTATTGATGATGTTCAGCACAGCGTAAATTTGTTATTCTGAATCTTAATTTGCTCTTAGCTCGTCCTGTGGCTATTACAGTATGTTTGTAAATGAGACTAGTTAGAGCAGTTTATCATGGCTATCACTGATTATTGATCTTCAAAAATGTCTAATATAAATTTAATGCGGCTGCTTGAATAAATACTTTACATTGTCACCGCTTTTTAAGCTAGCTGAACAGCACGCCCACTGACATGTGAGAAGAGAGGAAACACTTGTTAGGGCAGGCTTGAAAACTGTCACACTATTCTTCATTCCACTTACAGCCTGATTATCAGGCATGATGGATGTGGAAAGATGGTTTGTATTTTCACAAAGAAGGTGACATCCAGACCTGATGGATTGAAATCGTTGTTTCTGGTCTTCTATGGAGGTTGGGTTGGTGCACAGGATGAATCTACAGGTGATGTCTTGGAGAGTTCCAGTTTAAAGATAAATATAAAAATATAATGTGAATGCAAGACTTTTATGATGATTACATTTCCCAACTGCCGAGGTGCCCTTGAGCAAGGTACTGAACCCCCAACTCCTCTGGTGCACTCCCTGCATAGCAGCTTGTAACAGCTTCACTCTGACATCTGTCCACCAATGCATGTCCACATCCTGTTTGTGCATGTGTGTGAGAAGCATGTCCCTAAAATAACAGAATGTAAACCCGATCAAAATAAAAATAAATCAAAAGATTACATACATAGCATACAGGATCAACACATCATACCATTATGTTACATCCTGATCTAGTTTGACCTAAAGTCTATAACCTTTGAAAATGAACTAAACAATGTTTGTGTGTGTTAATAAGAAACGGGTGAATAGTAAGTTATAAAACAAAATTGTGTTATAATTGGTTAAATTTAGGATGGGTTATGTTATTTCTAACTGTCATGCAGCTGGGCCCCAGAAAGCCCCCCCCTTATTGGTGGCCTTGCACTAACTGATGACATCATTATTGGTGTGGTCTTGTGCCAGGAGATCAATATTTGTGAACAAAAAAAAAAGATTGCTAGGGTAAGTAACTCCAAGATTAACATACTGTAAAAAATGTAAACATACTCCCAATGTGACAAAAATGGAAACTCAATGAACAACAACATTATTTAACACAGATCATATATGGACACTTTATTTCCATTGATGATGACACAACATCAAAAATCCGAACACCTTGAGCAAAGAAACACAGAAGAAACATTTAAATACGAGGGTTTATTGGATTACTTTATCTCTTTTCTTATAATGCAGCATCAAACAAAACAAACAAACAAACTCCAGCACACAAACTAAAATACCACTTTAGACACTCGTGGAGCATTTGTATTGCAGAGTACCACAGCTAGAAGAAAGTAGCTACCCATGAGACAGAGAGACTGATAACATGATAATCAAACAAAGAGAGGCATGATGGGAAATGAAGTCAGTGTAAACCTTCAGAAGAAATGCTCAGGATCAACTTTCTGAAATACTTGATTTTTTGGCCTTCATTAAGCTGACAGCCATGAGAGAGGCCATGACAGTCCAGTGTTCACCCTTTCACTAGGTGTAGCATACACACTCTTTTTTTTAATATCTTTTAATATTTTTACTTAATGGCTGTGAGAGAAAGTGCGAGTCTCACGCGGACAACATGACGCCTTACAGATATACAAACTGATATATGAGGTAAACCCAGTTCTACACTCTTAAGATGGACAGTTATATTGGAGATTAAGTAAAGCCTCTCTCTTAGGGCGCCAGTAGCCTAGTGGTTAGTGTCCTCCAAGCTGGAGGCCCCGGACTTGAACCCGACCTGTGGCTCTTTTCCTGCATGTCATTCCCCACTCTCGCTCTCTCTCTACGATTGCTGACTCTATCCACTGACATATCTCTAAAGTAAAGGCTTAAAAAGCCCCCAAAATAAACCTTAAAAATAGAAATAAATATAGCCTCTGTCTCTCTCTGCGCTCAGCTTGTTGAAACGTTTTCAGAGGGATTCTTTGGCTGAGTGTCTAACTGCTCTTGGAGAGGAAGCGCAGGAGGTCGCTGAGACCTCTTGCTTCCTTAACCCCCCTCCTTTATCACCGTACACCCACACCCCCACCACAGCTCCAGTACAGATGAGTGTGTGGCCAACAAGATTGGACCCTCGCCTCCGCGTCTGATATATAGTTTCATTCAGGTGGACAGTAATTCTGTCAGCTCCGTGTCAGACAAATGTGTGTCTGGGCCTATTAGCAGCTGTGGCTAGAGAATTACATGGCGGCCGTGTCCTTCAGTTTACAGACAATATTGCAGCGAGAAGGAGGGAGGGGAGGCTCAATCTGACACACACACACACACACATACACACACACGCACACACACACACGCACACACACACACACACACACACACACACACACACACACACACACACACACACACACGCACACACACACACACACACACACACACACACACACACCCATCCCCCCAATGTAGAGCAGATGTGACCAGGAGAGGTGGGGGTCGAGGGAGAGGTGAGCAGGTTGATGAGGTCTAAGACGATGCTCGTAAATACACGACATCTCAATAAGTAACTCACACGTTTACAAACTCCCGGGAATCACGTTGTCTTTTTACCGTCTGTATTTTCATGGTGACATTTTGATAAAAAGGTTCTGTATTTCTGGACTGCCTCTCAGAAATTACATTCAGAACGGTTGTTTTTAGAGAGAAGTAATTCAAACGTATATAATGAAAATATGTGGCATTATCATAATCTGGAAAGTTGCAAATGTGTGTTTGATACGTGAGAGTCAGCAGTGACTTGAGACCAGAGCTGCATGTAAGGGTTGGTATACTGTAGGAAAATGAATAGCCAGATTCTGTGATCTTATAATTAACTACCTTCAGCTACTTTTCAAGCAGGAATATCAGGGATTGATTTGCTGACTTTGTGGTGTGTGTAACCAGTTTTAAGATGCCACTTTGGGCTCATAAAATACAGACAAGTACGGACATTTTACTGAAAGAAAGATCAAGTTGTGAAAATGATCGGCAGATTAAATCACTGGTCAAAATGACCATGAGTCCCATGTGGTTGGTAGAGTCGTCGTCTCTCAATTGGAAGGTCAGGGGTTCAATCCCCAGCTCCTGCAGCAACACGTCCAATGTGTCCTTGGCAAGACACTTAACCCTGAATTGCTCCCTAGACTAGAAAAGCTCTCTGCAAGCTGAAGTCCATTTACCATGAGTGGTTGCCATTTTATTAACGCAGCTTCCATGACTTTAACCAGAGTACTGTTTTTGCTTGAACCCCAACTGGCCTGAGCCTGGACTTGAACCTGGGACTGTGGTGTGACAATTTGTGACAAGCCATCCACAAAAAAAACAACAAAAACTGTGAAGAACAAAAATCTAGTACTTCAGTGAATTTAAAGCCGCTCCCAGATTCCAGTTCCAGATTCCAAACAGCCCTGTATCTTATGTCTCAACATAGTTTGGCCTTTATTACGCCTTTGTACTAAGACATTGCATCTGTAATGCAGTGATATTGGTTTCTCAGTGTTTAAATTGAAAAATGCATTTGAAGCACAAAAGGCACAGCATGTGAGCACACAGGAGCTTCACGTACACACAAACTCAGGCACACACACACACAGCTCTGTTCCACTTCACTGGCCCTGATGTCACACATAGCTTTTTTCCCTCTTTACGTTTCTGTCTCTACCTCCTACGTTGGATCAGGGGCAGAACGACTTTCAAATGGCACTCTGTAATCGGCATAAATAACTTCTGTAATCTTTAAAAGAACGTGTTTAGGATATCAAGTTAAGAATTAACAAAAGCCATTTTGAGGAGACAGGTTTAGTTTTTGCCATATATGGGACACTATTAGAGTGAATATATGCATGGACAAAGTAAACCTCAGACTAAAAGCTAAATGTCTTTATAGCCTTTATCAGATTGTGATTACACAACAGACCCGTTATGAAGCCCCATTTAACATCGCTACAAACACTTTGAAGCTCTTTTGGCTCGCTGTTTTTGATTTGCCTATATTGCATCTACCCCCACACTAATATTATTGTGTTTAAAGAAACAGTACCCCCCCCGTAATGCCTCTGTTAATGCCTCTCTTGGCGGTGGTACAGAGGTGGGACGACTTTGACTCGTTTTTAAAGGCAGGATGTCACAGTAGCGTTCAACAGGCAGTCTGAACTGGGCTCATGTCTCTGTGATTCTGACTATGTGTGTTTGTGTGTATGTGTGTGTGTGCGTTTGCTTCCCGAAGGTGGGAGATCAAATGAAGCTGCTCCATAACTGCTGGTCTGAACTTCTGGTCCTGGATCACATTTTCAGACAAGTGCAACACGGACAGGAAGACAGTATCCTGCTGGTGACCGGCCAAGAGGTAACACCTCCCTCACGCACTTCCCATCATCCTCCTGCACAGTGTCCACAAATCTTTGAAGTCATACGAGTCTAAAACTCAAAACTAAACCAGTGATTGTTTTACAAATTATTTTGTGTTTACACTGATGGTATTGATACGTTTTGATCATCTTTTTCAAAACTCAAAACATCGGCAGATATGGATGCTTTTATGCAAAAACAAAACATGTTTATACTACATCAGAACAGCTTCTTAGAGCAGCTCTGACATGCACGATGACCAAACACTAATAAGGTTATAGGAAATAATAAAGACTTTCGGAGACCTTGATGTTAATGTGCCACATTTAAAGCTTCACCAATGACAGGAAGTGGTTAACACTGGCCATCGTTTAAAACTTTAATTCAGACTGACTTTATTAGTCTATTTGGCTTTAGCCTAAAGATTTCGCTTTAACCTCAATATGTTTAGGCACTAGTGGCCTAGTGGTTGGTGAGCGCTCCCCATGTACAGAGGTGGAAGTCCTCTAGGGCCAACGGTGCAGGTTCAAATCCAACCTGTGGCTCCTTTCCCGCATGTCGTTCCACACTCTCTCTGTCCCTGATTTCTGACTCTGCCTCTAAAGAAAGGCATAAAAAAAGATCAAAAATAAATCTTTAAAAAATCTCAATGTTTTGACTTAACGTTTGACATTCTGAAATCTTCAATCTGGATTTTTTTTTTGTCTCTTTTGGGAGTAATTTGAATGTATTTGTAACAGTTTCACTTTTATATGACTCTTAGTGTGTGGACTGGAACCTTTGGAACTAACCACAACACATCAGTTTAACCCTCGTTAACATTTTGACTTCATTATGAAAATGACAAAACTACCAAAAAAAGTAACTGTCTCATTTTTTGGAAATATTGTAAACATATATTAGACATACAGTATATATTTAGTGCTTGTTTTATGTGGTATGTGTAATGGTTTAAATGTGAAGTTTAAAATCGTCATTTGATTGATTTGCAAGTTTAGGAATTTGTTCATTCTTGATTATTTTTGAAATTTCAAAATGTTCTCCAGAAGCAAAATAAATAAATAAATAAAGAACTAACAAACAAACCTTTCATTATTTGTGATGATTTGATGATGGCTCTCAGTCAACAGCAGAGAACAGAAAACTGAGAAATGTAGAAACAATTCCTCCTTCAGTTGACATTTTAATGAATTGAAGAGAAAATAACCCGGACTCTGTTTCCAGGTGGAGCTGTCGTTCGTCCTGTCCCAAGCTGAGGCCACTCTGTCCGGTCTGGTCCAGAGGGGTCAGGAGCTGGCGGCGAGGCTGCGGGCGCTGCAGGTGGACCGCAGAGAGATCGCCTGTCTGAAATTCCTCCTCCTTTTCAACCCAAGTGAGTGTGCCTCACGTTTGTGCTTCATCACGGTGATCACACGGAGTATACTCCATTAAAAATGATTCAAACTCAGTGATGGTCATCGGCAAGAAATGTGACGTAAAGAAAACAGAGGCTGCAATCAGAGCTGATTTGACCTGAGGTTTATATTGAGATGCTGAAAGAGCTGGAACTGTTTCAACATTTAATTATGATATATTCTCTTCCTTTATATATATTTTATGTGAGAAAACATTCAGCATTGATTGACCCGTCTGTGAATAACTGAGTTTACATGTGTGTCCTGCTGATGATTTGTCAGAATAAAAGAGTGTTTGGACGTAAAAAAATCAATCAACCCGGTCGGGCTGCGGGGGCCATACTGATGCTGTCCTTTAGAGGAATTTGAAAAGCAAGTCTGACATCTTAATGAAAGAAATGTCACAATCGCAGATTATCTGCCGTACCTATTTATCTGTAAGGTTACGAGTGTTTTCCAAACTGGCCTTTTTCCCCTCCAATAAATTCACTTAATTAAATTTCTCGGGTTGACAAAAGCCAATATTAACAAAGACATCCTCCTCCATTGTCCACTAATGGCATTCAAAAGAAGCCTAATGGATGGCTCTCTCACTCGATGGCAGGGCCGACATTCACGTGGCGGTTTGTGCAGATGGAGAGAGCATAGATGTGGCTTGCCCAGATTCCCAGAAGTGTTTGCTGTTTAGCGCTGGCAGAGCAGGAACAAAGAGCTTTTGAATGGTGAGAGCACTTGTCATATATGGGCAGAAAATATTTGCTGTCTCTGCCTGTGGCTGCTTTGCTCGCGCGCGCTCTCCCTCATCTTCAGAGTCAGGTTTTCGGGGGTAATTTAATTGCCCTCAAGCGGTATGAAAAGATGATTCAGAACATTGATTCAAAACATTTAATTACTGTGTGAATGGACTCTCAGAGCTGGGCTCAGCTGATGCTGAATGCTGGTCCACCGGAGGGCCGGGATATTGTCTCACGCACGCACACATCCACCCACTATTTCTTTACATAAAGAATAAACACAGTAAATACTGGATATAAAATCTATAGCATCAATGAATGAGTGCATACCACTATTAAACAGAGACCTTTTAGTTCCTCTTTCAGGCTTCCTGACATAAATTGTAACGTTAGTTTCATAACATTGAAATACATTAAGGGTCATTCATTGAAGAATTTCTCTGAAAGAAAATTTGACCATGATCGTTGAGTGCAAATATTTCACTTTTTAAAGGTCTTAACCTAAACGGCCAAAAGCGCTTTCCATCCAAATGTGCAATACAGCAAACTGTTAAACAGTAAAAACAGTATAACTGTTACAGGTTAGTAATATTAAAATGCATGAATTAACAAATCATCAAATATCCAAGTCTTAATTACAGTAGGCCGTCACTTAAGAAAAGTTGATTCCCAATAAATTGATAAATTTATTCATGAGCAGTTTCATAGTCACATTAACCTCTTTTTCTTTTTGTTTCATAGAATGGCAAAGCTTTGTTTTGAGTCAAAATGTATGTCAGACGCAAACACCAGCCTGACGTATTTAACATATTTTGACATTTTGCCGTCACCAGCACATACCTGCTACCACTCCTGTTTCTCCCGTATTTCAAGGCCACCCCCAACCCCCCCCCCCCCCCCCCATGTTTTGTTATTTCTTGAAATAATCCATTTATACTGTACATGGATCCATACGTTTTGTATGTTTGTCTGAAGACACCAAAGTTGCCAAATAATCAGCAAATCATCATCCACACACAAATTACACACACTCTCAACCCTCTGTCCCCTCGACTTGGCAACCCACCTCCTGATTCAAGGGGCTGTGAGCACAACTGCACTCTGCACGAGCCGAAAGTTAAAACGACAAAATGATTGCCTGTCATCAAGCTATCAACACCACTGCACAGATTATAACCTGGATCTATAATACTCTATACTGGATCAACTGAATGTCTGGACAAAAACATAGAAATTTAAGGTGAATCCCCCTTTAATGTTTAAATGTGGAGAATCAAAAATTAAGAGGAAACTACCATTTGAATGATGTCACAATAGACGATTTTAGACCCATTTTAGGATCGCTTCGGCACCTCTAAATTTCATCTCAGCACTCCTCAAATACTGAGAGGGTTGTGAGCCCAGACTTTTGGAATTTGACGTACATTTTTCCAATATCTTGATTTTTATATAAATGAATTAATAATTAGTTTTATGTTTTCCTTCACCAAACCAAGGACAATTTCATGACAAATAAATGCATAAAATACACCAAAATACAGGAAGTACACTGTTTGACGCTTAAAACCCAAGCATGTGACCCAGGATATCAGCTCTGGACTTCACAAGTGAGTCGTCAAGGCACAGCCCCCCCTGTGGGCTTGTGAAAGCTAAATGTTGGCAGGTATATTTGGCTCTGCCACGTTCACTACATTCTTGAATAGTTTTTGTCTTGACACCTCTTTGACTGTTAGTAGGTTGACCAAAAGTTAGGCTGAGATACTTTTTTTTAATACGGCGACCACCAGAGATTGACTTCAAAATTCCCCTTTAGTACCTAATGGGTGACGTCACGGAGACTTTGTCCATGTTTTCTACGGTCACTGAGGCTTTTTCATCATTTGCCCGTGTGTGTGTGTTTGTTGTGTTTCAGACGTGAAGCTCCTGGAGGACCAGGCGTTTGTGGAGGGCGTCCAGGAGCAGGTGAACGGGGCTCTGCTGGAGTACACTCTGTCCACCTACCCTCAGTTCCAGGAGAAGTTCACCCAGCTGGTGGTGCGTCTGCCGGAGCTGCGCTCTCTGAGCTCGCAGGCCGAGGACTACCTGTGCTACATGCACCTGAGCGGAGAGGTGCCCTGCAACAACCTGCTCATCGAGATGCTGCACGCAAAACAAGCGTGTGTGTGAGGGATGCTCTGCTGTCATGTGTGTGTGTGTGTGTGTGTGTGTGTGTGTGTGTGTGTGTGTGTGTGTGTGTGTGTGTGTGTGTGTGTGTGTGTGTGTGTGTGTGTGTGTGTGTGTGTCTGTGTGTGTGTGTGTGTGTGTGGGTGTGGGAGGGTGGGTGTGAGTGCAATGAAAGAAAGTCATATAAAGATTGGCACAATAGATCCTCTTTGAAAGGGCTTTTGTTTGGGTAAAAAAAGGGTAAAAATGTTCTTTAGAGTTTGAGATTAAATGAGATTGAGATGAGATTTTCATAGTCAGTGTTTTCATATCCTGCAGAGCTTCATAAAATATGACCTTTAGAAACTGAATTTTTGTACCCTGTTTTAAAAAAAAATCTCAATTCAGATCTGCTGTTGGATTTATGTAATATCCTCTATTGACAAATATTGATCCGGCATCACAGACGGCCAAGCTGCCCAGCTAACATTTACACTGGGAGGAAGATGCTCCCCCAGTCTGCATCAAAAACATGTTGTCAAGGTTACATGTGACAAGACTGTCCACAGCTATTCTCACGTCCTTATAAAACATCCACACTTTCTTTCTTTTTTTTTTTTTCTGATGTCCGAACAGTTTCAAACAACACTTTTGGGTGAGCAGATGTTGAACAAACACAGTCTGCAAAACAAAAACAGCTCAGAAAAATTACCCAAAAGGCTCATTGATGAACTCTTCACTTGAAATAGGTCGCTTACATTTTACCCATGCATCCTTTCAGTTGGGATAGACATTACAAAAAGCATCCACTAGAAGGCGCAGTCTGGCAGGGACCTCCACTTCTCTTTAGCTGCCGTCCAACTGACATTCAGTTTCCGTCTGATCTGCGCCCAGCTCTTCAGGTGTCGTTGTCTGTCCCTTTGCTCGGGCAAGAAAAAAATAATTTATGTTTGTAGTTCCTAACCAACTACACAATCTTTCCTGAAACATTTCTGCCCTTTTTCCGAATAATCTGCTTCATTGTGTTTTGCTGGTTTGGCTTAAACTGTTGTCTACACTGCTCCACACTGCCCCCCCCATGGTTTCCGGTGGTATTGCAGCATTTAGTCTGTATCCATAAGCTTCCAAACCGTGCAGAAATAAAGACAACATGATGGCAGAAAGCTCCTTCTGTTTCCATACTGTATGTGTATCGGACATGGAGCATAAATGACCCTACACCTCGAAAAATGGCTGACCTAGGCACCCCACTGGTGACGGATATTCACCCCAAGGCTCTGAGGTCACAGACTGATTATAAATCATGTTGATTGTTGACCTGTTGGAAGTGCAACAGTTATTAACAAGGTCACAGTTTGGACATTTTTAAGCAACAAAATAAGTGGACTTTTACGTACAGCGTAATTTTTTCGTCCACCACTGACCAAGTTTGGCTATTTGACGACCTGGGAGTGAGAGCATGCTGGGTAAAGTCTCACACCAGAGGATGACACTATAGTTGTGGGCACTTTTGTTAAATTCTTGTCGCTCGAGCTAATCTTCACTTTTCATGACAGATTTTGAGACTTCTTTCATGACGCTATCTCTCGATTATTATCAGTGAGAGTATGATAATATACTAATATAATAGTAAACGATGGGGTTCAACTTAGATTTGTTTTATTGTATAGAGTTGTTAACGTATTTATATATTGAGGTTGGACAAGATAAGGAAAACACATTTTTATTCAGTGAGTCATCAAAACCTTTCCCAACATAACGAGACTGAGAGACAGGAAGAAGGGAAAACTTCAAAAGCAAAAAATAAAGAGAGAGTGTGAAAATGATAAGAGAGCGATGAGAGACAAAGACAACAGTGTTTGCCTCATCATCATTTGATGTGAGGTTCTTTTATTAAATCGTTTGTATTTCCAACACCTTGAGAAACAGTTGACCCTTTCACACTGCGTTATTACTCTCAGCACACTGGATGCTGTGCGGACTGACTGATCAGAAAATTATTTCATCCTCTATGTTATGTTATGTTGATAAAAAAAAACACATTTCAGGTGGCGATTTGAAATGTCACAGATGTCAGCTTTGAGTTTCTTTTAAGCCCTTTACATATGGCACCAGAACGAGTTTGTAATACTAACAGAGATCTCTGATCTGCATCCCAACAGTAAATCTCACTGCACGTTACCTGCAGCAGTTAGGCAAGCGACGAGGTAATGTTGATTGCGTGACATTACTTATTGTCTGTGATTTGATATTTTTTCACTCTTTATTTTTCTAACTTCACATCACATGATGAGACTGATCTGTAGGAATTGCAGGCTCTAAAACTTCATAGGATTAAAATGTGAACATGATTAGATGGATGAAATGATTGGCAGCATGTGTTATGGAACATTTTCTATCATTCAACAGGTTTGATGATTATAATCTGGTGGTAAAATAATAGCAGAAAAACATCACAGAGCCTTGACATCATGTCCAGAGTATGATATTAATAAATCTTTGTCATATCCAGACGAGTACACTTGCAGATGGGACACACAAAATGCAAACATGTGGGGTCAATTTAAATTTCACACGAGGTCCCCAGGTCGTGCTGACCCCACGTAAAAGTATGAAGCCCTAAGAGGACACGTTTCAATGAAAGGAAAAATTTACTCTGTGTTCCCATGATGATGAAAATCTTCTCAGCCGTTTTCTCGAGATCCCGCCTTATCAATCAAGTTATCTTTGGATGACACTGCTGGTTGTCGTGCGAAAAAGAGTTCATTTCAGCCAGTTTCTTGAGATCTTAAAAAATTAACTTGTTCTGACGGGAAAACCAGCGTTGTTATCCGATCATAACCAGATAAACAAGTCGAGATCTCAAGAAAACATCTGAAATTTACCAGGAAAACGTAGTAAAATAGAATTTATGGATGTATGTCCACTTAGGGCTTCTGTAGATAAGGTCAATTTAAAACAAACAGTTACAACGGTCTCGCCTCTTCGACATTTGTCCGACATTGCTCTCGCTTGTTGCTGGGCAGCTTCTTGTGTGGGCGTCTCTTATAGTTAACAGTTGTCTACTGCGCTCTGATTGGTCCATTTGTTTTTCAAACGGCCAAACAATTAGCTATCAGTGTGCACAACACAAACGATTTTATTTATTGGACCAATTTATGTCCAGTTGAAAAGTGGAAAATAAACAAGTGAGCACGTTTAATCCAGATTATCTCTGACTGTACGGTCACCAAACTCTCTTCTCGTGATATCTGACATTCCTGTGCTTAGTAATCTCTATCAACAAAATATTTTTTTTCACAAGACACCAGTTCCTACCAGCACAGGCCTTATCAGCCCTACACACAGTATCAGACAGCTGACCTATAGCTCCAACAACACCTGGGCTGCATTTTGTAGCCGTCAGTGTTATCTGTGTTGAAAAGTATCAAAGTGGATTTCTAAAAGTGACCCCCTCCCTTTTTTTATAAAGCACATGACTCTCAGCGATGAAGACAATGTAACTGATGTTGACTGTCACTGTCATTACAGTCAGAGCAGTGTGTGTGTGTGTGTGTGTGTGTGTGTGCGCGTGTGTGTGTGCGTGTGTGTGTGTGTGTGTGTGCGTGTGTGTGTGTGCGTGTGTGTGTGTGTGCGTGCGTGTGTGTGTGTGTGTGTGATGAATATTGTGCAGCTCAACTTTCTCACTGTGGACATTTGAATTTGTTCATTCATGCATTGAATTTACTGTATTGTAGACAATCACTCCGCCTGCCTTAACTTAATGTCTGCCTAATACACACTAATACACACACACACACACACACACACACACACACACACACACACACACACACACACACACACACACATACACACAAACACTCATACAAACACTCATACACACACACATTACTTCATACATGTTTTCCATTCGAGACAGCTGTTGTGTTTTCACTTTGTACAGTATATTTATGTTGTGAAGTGAAGATCTACTGCAAAAAGAAGATAACATTTCAACTCTATAAAAAAAAAGTTCTCTGCTTTATGTCGAGGTCAAATGGCTGATGTTGTGGAGCTGATTCTCTTGGTATCGCTTTGTTTTTTGCTCTTAGTTCACTTTTTTTATTTCCCAGTGAGTTGACAGTCCATCCCGTCTTAACCTGAAGTGTGCCCCCCCCCCCCAACAAAAGTAAAAGTGACCAAAACATTCTGTTTTTCTTTGAATTTATTTCATTGTAATAGCATCAAACCAATAAAAATCAGTGAACAAAAGCTCCACTTTGTGTCGGCTGTTATTGCGTAACATTCATCCGCTGTGCAGCGATGATGAAAGTGAGTCTCATAAATAACACAGGCGTCAGTACAGCAGTCATTGTGTGGCCGTTATTCAGCCTCGTCCGACTTCATTATTCACTTCAGTAATAGACTCTCAAACAGTGAGCATTACTTTGAGAAAGTCGACATGCAACATCTTGAAAATAGACATCAATCTCACTGAGACATTCGTTATTTCTTGTTAAGACATTCTCAGAACCTTTTTTTAGATTTATTTTTGGGGCTTTTTATGCCTTTATTGTAGAGATAGGATAGTGGATAGAGTAAGAAATCAGAGAGAGAGAGAGAGAGAGAGAGAGAGAGAGAGAGAGAGAGAGAGAGAGAGAGGGACAGGTTGGATTTGAACCCGGGCCGGGGAGTGAATGCTGAGTGGACATTTTAGGTTAAACATCATTTCTCCGAGTCTGATCCAAATTGTTGTGAGAACCAACCAGAATGAATATTAGTCACACATAAAGCCTGAGAGGAACCTTGTGTTTATGTCAGGGCATTCAGAAAAAGGCAACATGTGGCTCCACAAAGGTTTCAACAATTGATCATAAAGTTTCATAGACTGTATATAAGAAGCAGTCATGGTTACTCAATTAAGTCAAGCTTCAGTTTTAGCTGGATTATTTAAATAGACTAATGTCCTTGTCAGCTACAGTAGGTGTGGGATAAACCCACTTTCAGCTTGTTATTATTAGACCTCTCTACAGTAGATCTACTTTGTCACATACCAAAAAATCGACAAGTTAGCAAGCGGCCAACAGTCAAACGGTGAGAACATTGATGACTTTACAGCTCCAAATAATGCATGCTATCCCTCCTGCTTATAGCGCTTATGATGCTTATGGTGATATCCGCTGGTAGCCAACAGCACCGCATCCTCCTGAGGTGTGTCTTATTTCAGGGATAGCATCATTCGATGGACGCAGCCTACGAAGGGCCCAGCCTTTGTAGCCTGCGGGACCTCTCAGGCAGATGTGAATTATCAACGGAGGACCCCCCGTTTGCATCCCCACCTGTCTCCACCCTTACCCTTCAGTGTCTAAATGCAACCCCTGTTGCCTAGCAACCTCGTCAGCTGAACAGGAACTAGCTGATGTGACTTACTCTGATTAATATCGCCAAATAATTCATCAACTAATGATGACAAATAAAGACCAGACCACAGGTGTTCATCTGCATGAATGAGCAAACAAACTTCCAGAAAACAATGATGAATTTCTTCAAACTTAACATGCGTTAATGATTGACAAAACCGTACATATCTTCATTCCTTATTTGACTTCTGGCTGTTTTTCTTTTTCTTTAGTTTTCTCTTTCTTTATTTTTGCTTCCATTTTGTCATGTTTTGTTTTTTCTACTAGACTGTAAGTGAAGCCTGTAATGCTGTATGCTAGTTCATAATTAAAATGTCAGACTTTGATTATAAGTAAATGTTTAAAAAAATACATGAAAAATACAAAAATGGTATGCAATGAATCTAGGGTTATGTTGGGCCACAAAGGATGCACCTGATGGACCCTTCAAAAGCCAAAGATTGAAGAATGCATTTGAAGGATCCCTCAGAATGGGAGAGCCTTCAACCGCACCAGTCCGCAGGCTGCAGCCCTTAAACTGGGACACACCCCGGGAATGGTCTAACAACAAGACTTGTGCTGTTCAACTTATGGGTCAAAGCCCAGCATGGGAACAGTGAAGTATGCTCAGAACGCTGAGGCTAATTTGTGTCCCATTGAGGTGCAGGCATGCCAGAGTAAATCAACCCCCCCAAACCACGTCATCTAGGAGTGTAAGTTCAATTTTGAGACATTTTAAATGTCCAGTTGTAGTCAGACTGACACAATAAATCTGCTTTTATAACATCATGTCAACCTACTGAATGTCATTTTTGGGTTTTTGGACCTCTTTTCTGAAGCATGAAGTTTTTAATTTACCATGACTGTTTTGATATTTGAAGCACTTAATGATAATTTTATTTTAGAGAAAAAAAAAGGATATGTTATATACAATCTCACCAAGTAACCATATCCTTTAGCCTAGCCCCCCTTTGTCGACAATCAATCAACCATCAATATTTATTTTGCATATTAAGCACAAATCAAATCTGAAGTTTTCTCCTGACTCTAAACAGCAGGTCTAGACCATGCTCCTGGTTTTATATTAATATCAACATTAGATTACTTACTTTAAAAAATGGACACCACCAAGAAGACTTCAAACAAGCAACTGAGACCATCAAATCATTACAAAAATGTTTACTGAGGTATTACATCAAATGAACAAAATAAAGCTCATTTTCTATAACACAGTCTTCTTTCCTCTGTACTCTAACACATCTTTTTAAAACCAGTGGAGTGGATTCTTCATTGTCATTAAAGAGGATGAAGGTTTAAGGCTTCACTTTCTAAACCAAGACATCCATTTCTTATATACAGTTCATGCAGAGGTCCAGTACAGATCTGCACACGTGTACCATGTCTTAGATAAAGATCTTTAAGAGCAGGGGAAATCAAATATATTGTTTTTTAATTTAAAAGAAACCAAAGCGAATTTAGAATTACCATTCCCCGACCCCTCCCGTCATGCCCCCCCCCCCCCCCCCCCAGTCGTGTACCGTCGTCTGCTGGAGGTTACACACAAGGCGACTACCTTTGTCTGCCGCACTGTTTTCACAAAACACCAGAGAAGAGGACTGCAGAGTGCTTCCTCGTCACCCTGCTGGGATGCTGCTTTGATATGCTGCTACTTGTTGCTCGAGGGACTCTCTGCCCAGAAGCTATTTCACCTACGAGCACATGCCACCGCTGTTCCTGTTGGTTTTTTAAAATTCAAACCATGATCTTGTCCTGAACTAAAATCTTTCAGCCTAAACTAAACCAAAATGTGACGGTATGACATCGATCTCATGTTTCAGACATGACATGAAAAGCAGTCTGCTTGATGAAAGGTCTGTCTTTTTGATATTTTGTCTTATTAAGCCAATCACAGCACAGGAAGCAAATTTAAAGTATCTCTTAACCCTGTATAACTAGTTTTAAGTGTCTTTCTCATTTCTCTCTAGAAGTGTGAGCAGAAAGTCCACAGGCCACAAAATCATTTCTTGTCGTCCTACTAATAACAAGCCTGTGACAGCCACTGGTACTGTTTTTTACATCAGAGAATTTAAAATACTGACTGCTGTTGAGATACAAAGGATTTTAACAAATATAAAACGGCACTATAACAAAAAGCCTAACCTCGCTTTAGAGGTTTGGTTCACACATTTTGCCAAACAACACTTGCTCAAGTTATAGCACATACAGCTTTGTTTTATTTGCAGGTTTTTTCAAATTCACGCTTCAGTGGATTCGGTGTGCTGAGCCAATGATCGAAAAATCCATAATTCACTAAATGTTTTTCAAAGATGAGGACCTCCAACATTGCTGCCAAAGAAATCGGTTAAATCAGCCCGTTTAAAAAAAAAAAAAACAACAACACACACACGCACACACACATGCTGTGTGTTTAAATAGTGAGGAGTTCTGCGATCAAAACAGGGAGAGTATTATCAAATACTCTGTGGACTTTTATCTTTTATGCTTCATATTCTTCCACTCTTGTCGCCTCCTGCTTTGCTGTGTGTGTGTGACTGTGTGTGTGTGTGTGTGTGTGTGTGTGTGTGTGTGTGTGTGTGTGTGTTGGTACACTTCTTCGAGATGGATCTGTGTGTTTCCACATCCTCCTTTCTGCAGCAGCGTGGTGCACGGTTTATTGTGGCTGAGTATCGGGATCCACTCCACTTGCAGTTCAACAACCTGCGGTGAAATAAAGTGAAAGGCATTAGCTACGACTCGGAGCTCCTGGTCTGACGTTGAATGTTTTTGCATTACAGGAGACGCGTGTGTGTTTGTGTACAAAAGGAGAGGAAGGAGAAAGGAGGAGGAAATGAAAGGCAAAGAGAGTGAGAGAGAGAGAGCAGGTGTTGAAGTGGTTAATGGCTGATAGTGTGAATAGCCAGCGCTGTCTGTTCCTGATTAAGGGAATGAACTTGTTCTTTGTCTCGCCGGTCAACAATGAACACCCAGCAGCACTCAAACACCCTCCATCAGGCGTTTCTCACAGACGCCTAAACATTTAATGAATCTATTGCAAAAACTTCTGTCAACATACTGCCAGGCAATTTAGAGACACTGAACATGACTTAACCCTCCAGAGACACTGGGACCATCTGTTGTGTCCACTCGCACATTCAAACCAACAAAGGACACGGGGGCAGTTTTCACACAGGCCCCATGTTGAACACTGTGCAGGTAAATGGAGAAAATACAGAAACAAATTAAACCCCTATTTGCTCTTTCTCTACCTCTCCACTCACTTCTTTGTTTCGTCTGTGAAGCTTCCCTACATGTGAGTGCTTTGCGACTCCTCGCACACATCTATCCGCCAGATTTTTGAGATTTCAGTCGATACCACACAATGTTCTCCACAAAAGATCAGAGACTCTAAGAAAAAGGTAGAAGCATGACAACTATTCTATGTTTACTCCTGCTTTATGTAGTAGGGGACTTTAAGATAAAGCATAAAATACTCGCAGCATTTATTCACACCATTATGGACGACCTCCACTAGTAGTGGCAGAAATATGCGTCGGTGCATTCAGCCTACTAAAGCGAGGAATTTCAATGAGAAAATATGCAAATGAATATTACTTTTGTCCCTCGAGTCAGCTTCAATATGCACCATTTGTAGTGTTATCACAAAGTATCTCATAGTATTCAAAAAATTCCCACTATTTGGTAACCATGTCGGAGCAGATGGCAGAGGTGCATGCTGGGATTTAAAATGTAAAAAAAAGAATGCTGTCTGTGTCTGAAGTCATTATTCCCTCTATAGTGCACTTTATAGTGAACATGCCATTTTATAGTGGTCTCCGGATACTGAGTGAGCACGATTATACCCAATATAGTGGACTCATTGTATCCCACAATGCATTGTGAAAAGATCTGGACAATCATTGGTCACTTTCCAAGCAATATATACCATCATGCATTGTGGTTCAAATATTTGTACGAGGCGTTGGACTGCCCTCAAAGAGACAAGAGGACAAACCAGTGTGGACATTGACACAAAAACATTTGAAAGGTAAAATATCATCTTCCTTCTTAACAAGTTAAAAAGATATTTTCAGGAGTGCATATGTGAAAACGGATGGACACTTAGCAGCCTCATGAGTGTGTGATTGGGTTTGATTTGCAACAATAACAATCTGAACACCTGGAGAATAACAGTAAGACACGATGACAACATTTCAGCTTCCCACCCTGTGCATGAGCAGCAACACTGTATCCAGGTCTTTATGATATTTATCTGTGAATCAGCAGACTTCCACATGATAAACAGGCACAGACATCATTTTCATCAGCTGGTCGGTGTCACAAAACGTGAGAATGGAGTTGAACTCAAGGGAAAACATTAACGACCACATTTCAAAATGAAATATCTGTTAACAGAGATTCATATTGAGCTTTACTGATACACTTACAGTCAATGTGTCCTGGGTTTACATTTAACCATCTTTAATGTCTCTTTTGCTCTCCACATGAGCAGTTTTTCTGCATACAACACGAGCCTGCTGCATAGGAATCACTGACTACAATTGTAAACGAGTATGCATCTGTATAATGAGTCAAACGTAAAAAGATAAACCTGACAAACTACAGTAGGTGAGTCTGGGCGCTTCCATAGACTCCTTACTTTATTTGAAACCATGTATATGTCATCACTATGTGTTCCTTATCCATGGAACACACTTGCATACTTGTATTCTGAAGCTGTGATACTTTTCTTTGTGTGTTTTTGACTTTGTGTGTTTTTGACTTTGATTTATTTCAAATTAAATTCAACCCTAACCTTAAATGAGTACAGGTCAGCATCGGGTTGTTAGAGTTGTACCTGAAGGCTTGAATCCGGTCAGCTGGACCACCTGTTTGAGTTGAAAAGACAAACAATACATTCAGTCACAAACCTGAGTATTAGTTTTGACAGTGCAGAGATGACACATACCTGTTTATCCATGTTACTTACTTGGTTTCCTGATGCTGGTTTCAAAGAGAATGTCACAAAGCTTTCCTTTCTGAAGCTCTCTGAAAGACAACAACAGAACAATTCATTTGTAAAATAGTGTTTTTCTTTTGGGACTGAAACCAAGCGGAAACCTCCGGTGTTAAAAAATGAAGCCAATGCAGAAAAGAAATGTAGTTTCTCGTATGTCCACCTGAGGCTGGTTCCAACATCTCCCCACACAAAGCCCCAGGTTTGCTTACCGTTCTTGATGACCAGCGATGTGGAGGCGGAGCTGGGGGGTCCAGAGGTCTCACTTGTCTCAGGGCTGGAGGGGGTCAGAGCACTGTGGCCCCAAGAGGAAATGGGGGCCCTCTGGGAGGGAAGGAAACTAGTTGGCTGCGAGCAGTTCTGAAATAAGGACACAAATCAGAAGTGCAGCAAAGTGATGAATTTAAAGTCTGCTATGCTTGCTGGTCTACTTCACTGCTAAAGACCTGCCCACACAAAGCAAAGTCTGGCTTCGGGAAAAATTAACTTTTATCAAAAGGGAATGTCTCTTCTGCACCGTACTGATGGATCTGACCATTGCTATGTACTTTAAACTCACTCACCGTGAAAGATAAGGCCTTCCTTTTTTCTTTGATCCTCTTTATGGCATTCCTCACCTAAATGAGAAGCAGCGTTTACACCCACTGGTTAGTCCAAAAGGCTGGCAGCCTCACATACCACACAAAGATACATTCTGAGATTCTGCCGCAGTGACGACAGCAGCAACAGCACTGTCAGTGAACAAAACACATCCGTACCTCACTGTTGTAAACAGCATACACTAAGAAGATGTACAGGCCCTGTGGAGAGGAGAGAGATGCATTAGGAAGCTCATGAGAAGGAACAGAAGAGGAGCAGAATAAACTCTATTTATACATTCAGTACTCCATGTTGTCATCTCTGTCAAACTGCAAAACAGAAACATTTAGTGCAGACCTTTAGTCTGGGAGACTCCCTGTTCAGTGGGCTTCAGTTAGGCTCAGCAGGGTGTGACTGAACTGAATCCAAATGTGATCTCTCTTGTCTTACTGTCTATTTTCTCTGACATTATAGCTTCTGGTTACCACCCTTTATCTCCTGTATTGTAAGTAAAGTGCTTCACTTAACTATTGCACCTTTGAGGGACAGGTTATGCTTTAATGGCATTGTGTTTACATCGGACATGTCAGAAGGCAGAAGTGTTTGTGGGGGTTTCCAGCAGTCATACTTAAAGGTTGTGTAAAAAAGACATTTGGAGACAGATGTGTCTCAACAGTAAGATAATTATATAGTCTCTGTATCAGAGACCTTGAACATAAATACAAAAAAATGTCAACACCTGAAAATATTTGGTGGAAAAAAAAAAGATCTGCAGGAGGGGAAAAAAAGACATTTCAACAACTTTTTAAAATATATTTGTGAATCCATCTTTTTTTTTGCTAGGTCAATTTATTTGTGGGTATTTGTTCTACATTTGTAGATTAAAGGGTTGGTCATTTTTTTTTAAACTAGCATGAATTTGAAAGTAGCATTCCCTCAGTGCTACGTCTACACCCACCCTCTCCCCTCTTTGCTCCCTCAAAAGCCACTTTCAACCAAAATCTTAAAATGTGGGTCTGGAGAAAATGGCCTTGCCTATAACACAATACACACACACAGAGCGTGAGGATATGGTTATGATTTCATGGGCGAGACTGATCTGACTTGTGGACACGTTGTAGATGTTTGTCAGGAGGCTTAGGGCCCGCCTCAGCTCCAGGTTTTGACCTAATGTTATGCTAAGTGAAAGTTTGATATAGTCAGCATTTACATTATTGCAACTGTCATCGTCAGATTTCCCAAACAGCCCTTCATAAACCAATGGGTGACGTCACTCCGTCCATGTTTATACAGTATACAGACTATGATCACACAATGCTCTGTGTCTCACGGGCTTACAAGTCATCTTGTGACTTGACAGATACACCATGAGGAATAATCTAAAGACATGTTTATAAACCTATAATGTTTGCATTAAATACAGGATTAATCACATTTGTTATTTCAGTCATAGAGGATTCTGCATTTCTGATTTTTAAACACAGTCTTATGATTTTTGCCCTTTGTAGGTTCAATGCTGCCATGGCTTTAACTGATCCTGTTAAATAAGTAGGATGTCAATATACTGTATGTCATTTCTGGATGGACTTGAATAATTCCAATTTCTGATGGCCACAGTAGGTTTAGAAAACAGAACATAATATGACAACTAAAAAACACATGTTAGCTTGTTACTAGCTTCCTTTGATAAATAACCAATATTTGTTGAAAATGACCAAGGTATCAGTATTTACCTGTCTAATACACATTACATCAATAGTTAGCCATGTTAAACGCACAGTTTGTAAATTCTACTGCCAGGGGGCTGCCAGGGAATCATGGGAGTTCTTTCCGCTATCCAACTTCAAGATCACATTTTTGTGTTTCAGAGCATCTGGCTAATGACTAAGCTTCTATGGTTGACGAATGGATTGAAAAACAAAACTTCATTAAACTGAAAGAGGTTTAGATATTTTTGTCTCTCAAAACACCACGTGTAAGCATTTTAATTATCTGGTGCCCTTATCCTTCAGGTAACAAGGTTAGCTGTTCTCTCCCTGATCACTCACACTTACCTCTACAAAAACAATTTGGACAGCTTTTCTGATCTCCTTAAAGCTGAATATATAATGGTCATTATAAATAAAAACTGTGTTGAGTGTTGGTATGGGACCTTCTTCAAACTGAAATATTCTGTTGTCAATGATTTCTGTAAAATAAATCAGACAAACCGCACTCTTCCTAATTGATCTGAAAATTCCCAAAGTTCGAAGTACATAGAGGAAAGGAACAACTAAGAGGGGAGTTTCCATTAATTTACGGGGTAAGCTTCTGTCAAGTGTTTAGTCGGAAGACTGAGATCACAGGACATCAGTACCTCCTGAGTCTGCTGTTTTGAGCTGTTTCTATGCATACTGTGATTACTGCAGTGATATGAGCGAGGTGGAGCACGAGCAGACACTGTGTTCTGACACCTTTGGGAGATAATGCTTTTAATCAGAGAGCTTAAAAACACAGTCAGATATTGTGGGACAAATTAATCTGACAATGACTCTAATGCCTAAGTCTTCACTGCATTGTTATTTATAAATTCTCCCCTTGGCTACAGACAAGCCTCCTGCTTCATGTGCCACCATATCATGTTTGATTGAGTGTTGTCTTTCTCTGGGAAAACAACTTTTTTAAAGCTGCAGTACACAAAGTCTGGACTTTTATGTTGCATTAAATGTTGCACTTTAAAAAAGTATGGAACCGTTGCAACATTTGAACATTCAACGTAAAAATAATTGATCCTGAATCAGTACAATTATAGAGTCTTTGAGTGAAAAACTATTTCAAATATGATAACTGGTTAAAATCTATTGTCTTTTTTAAAATAAAATGTGGATGTAGCCACCATGACGTCATCCTTGGTTACTGTTATTACTCTTACGTTTGCCATTTTGGAAATCACCATTCTGTTTTTTTAACCAATCAGTCAATTACAGCTAACCCTAGCCATAGTATGGTCAGGTTAAGCGGGGTACACACTGCAAGATAATCTGCCCGATTTTGGGCCCGATTATCTTTTTCTCTTTTAGCTTGACCATCATGTTTGTTTACTCTTAAGTCGCTGTTAGGTTGTATGTTGTTTTGTCCCCCTCTGCTGGTTGTAATATGTAACTGTTCGTAACCTGTTGACTGATTGCTTTTGTCTCTTCCTATAGGGTGTGTATGGTTGGGGGTAATTGAGGATAAGGAGGCAGAAACTGCCCGGCTCTCTCTCACTCTCTCCTTGGCTCCTGAGAGTCCCACCCAAAATGTCTATTCTGTGTTATTGTGGGCTGAGTAATCTGGTAGCATGTTTATCCCTTTCTCTCGGCTTTGGTTCAGTGTGTTAAGGGATCCTGTAGCCTGTAGTAGAGGGTCAGTACCCGGTCTGAGGGCCCTGTGTGGGCGGGCTCGGGTGACTGACCTTTCTTTTTTGTTTTGTTTAGTAAACCAGACTGCCAGCTTACAGTTGTGTTGTTTCTTGGTCAACTATTAATGCTGTTACTAATTTCGAATTGTAAAAATAAACCTTTTTCTTGAAATGATTTAACCTGACTGGTTGATTAATTAATTATATAATAATAATAATTAATTCTTTTTTTTTTTTTTTAATGTGTGTGCCAGGCATTAGTGCTGTAACTTCACAAAGTTAAATTACTTTGATATTAATTTGAAATCCTAAAACCTACCAGTGCTGATGATTTAAACTAAATGTACAACTGATGTGAAATAGACCGCTTAAGATCACGCCCTAAAGCAACACCCTTTTTAAAAGTCTAGTTTACCCTAAATGTAGTCTCTATTTACAGATTCTACATAGAAATGTCTGCACACAGGAGGTCTGGATCTCAGCATGACATGTGTTCTAGTTTCTGTTTGTACATTTGTAGTCAGGGCTGGTCTTGACCAATTACATTTCAGCTGGCTTTGGTGTGTGCATGAGAAACAGTCCATCAATGTTGACAGCAGAAAAACAAACAAACAGGCAGAACCTTTATCAGCACTTTAGCATACCGGCTCCCACCGGCGGCTTTCTAACAATGATTTATTTATTGCTCATATATTTGCATAAAAGTGCAGCTTACAATAAATTATAGAGAAAACATTTCAACTTGAGTCACAAATCTGCTTAACGCTGTGTTGTGAGAGCCAATCAGCAGTCAGATTCTCCAGAAATTATCAATCCAACCTCCACTCAAAATAATTTTCTTCTCTTGAGGACAGACCTTACAAAGCTCAACTTTTTATTTTTTAACAAACCCTGCATCATGATGTTTTTATTTCTGCAAACGTAAGACCCGTCAATTACTAGTAAATCACAAGGAAATTGGTTTCATTTTCAGGGTCATACTGCTGAAGCGAGCCAGAGGGAAGGCGTTGTTTGACTCATATTCTACTGACTCAACAGATGCTGCTGAATGTTATGGACCAAGAAATGACAGTGGTTGTGTTGCAGACATAAACACCACATGTAAAAGGAAGTCTTTCCTGGAAGCTGATTACACTAAACTTCACCGGAAATGTGGAGAGATTCCCAGAGGGAAGAGAGGGAGAGAGAGAGAGAGAGAGAGAGAGAGAGAGAGAGGGAGCAGCTGCAGTCCTGTGTTCGCAAAGCAGACAGTGACAATCTTTGCCTTCACCTGTGTTTTATTTCACCCTCGCAGCTGCCTGTGCAGCTCTGTGTTGATTAATTTGTATGTGCGTTTGTTGAATTTGTGCACACAGAGTTGTATAGTGTGTGTGGTAGTTCATATTAGCGCTTGTGAAAAAATGTAATTTGCTTATGTTTAAATGCATTTTCGAGATTTGATATACGTAAGTTTGACGCCATAGTGAATACGTGATTGTGTACAACTAATGATAAAAATATAAATCTATAGGCTACATGTTTCTAACAAATCCAAACTACAAACTCTACAGAAATATCATCAACAGAAGAAGAACCTCTGCTGGATGTCGTTATTCAGCCCTACAAGCTCTCACTCTGCCCTCTGAGTCCTCAGACTCTCTCCACCATACTGTACCTTTTTCAACTTTTTAAGCAGCCAAGTAAAACGAGAAGAGCAGAAGCACTGGAGTAGCGTCTTCCTCCTACCCACATGAGGAAGAACTCCTACTGTAGTGTTATCTGCCCTCAGCTGGACACTGGCAGTAAATCTAAATTAACTAGCAGCCCTCTGGGGGTCACTCAGGGGCCGGCTCTTCTTTGATTAATTAAAGCCCGAGGAAGAGCACAGAGGGGGTGGGATGGGATAAGAAAAGACAAGGGGGAGAGAGGAGAGGGATGAACAGAATGGACGGAAGGTGAAAAGAAGAACGGGGACAGTGTTTGGGATAATGTTGAACTGAGGAGAGCGTGACTGAGAGAGGAAGTAACTCCTTCTTTTGTTATCAGGGGAGGAGAGATGGAGGTAGATGTGGTATGACCTGTCGTTCAAAAGCCTTACCACCTTCTCCCCCACACACCAGCACACTCACACACACACACACAATACACACACACTGGCTGGCATGACTTCTTATAAGTCCTCATATCATGCTTTTTTTGTGCCAGACTATATTTAGTTAATAATAGTTACATTAGTTGGTGGGTTATTTTACATTTCAAGAGACATTCATGGGCATGAGAAAACTGTTAACTCTTAAAGACTGCTTAGAACATTTACATCCTTCATAGCATTAAAAACACATTCATATCAGTTAAATATGCATTGGTTAACAGTTTACTAAGCTGTTTGTTTTAAAGGCACAGCATCTAGATTCCACCACCAGGGGGCTCTCAATCAATACCATAACAAAAGATGACGTTGAGGCTGTTATCATGGCCATTCGTACTTTCTCTAGTAAAGCCATACTTTATGTTTTCTGGCTCATACCAAAGAGTTTTAGAGTCCCAGATGGTATTCCCCTGGTTGTAGCTGTACAGCAGTCGTGTCATTTTCAGTCTTGTTGTCCTTTATCTTTTGAGAAATGTTTCCATCTTAAGAGGAGGCAGGTTGCTAGTTTTCATTAGTACAGAAACTGATTATTCAGTGTCACTCACTGTGACTGCTGTCCTGATTGGCTTAAGTGGTGTGTGTGTGTGATTTTCTTTTTTACGGAAAGATTGGCATAGAAAAATATTTCAATATATGACGATTAAAGGAAGAATGTGCAACATTTTACACATAAATACAGCAGATTAAAAGTAAATGTCTCTGAGTCATGACTGTCTACAATGAGTGAGAAGCTCGAGTCAGTCAGCTGTGTTGTTGTCGGCTGTGTTTACATAAAGTTGACATGTATGGGATGGCCTTGTGTATAAAAGCTGTTTTAGTCAAGAACTAGAGAAAAGAAGAAGAACATACTGCTTATTTGGATGTCATGTGTCTTTAGATCTCGGTCATTCAGTGTCAATTTATGACAATTTATGAAACTACGAGCTAACTAAGTGTGCTAACATTAGCGTGCTAACAGCAATGCAGACCACGGGCAATCATCTTAAGCAAAGGACAACTTTGACCGCCGTTTGCGCTTAATGGTGCTTAATTATGATGTGTTCTTATTCATAACTATTTCATGGTAACATGAGGGGAGGGGGGTTGGAGGTGTGCTGCTGGAGGAGAGTGGAGGTGTTGCCAAACAGCAGTTTGTTTTTGTTCATGCTGGTGGAAAATGATGATGGTAGTGATGGTAATGATGGTAATGATGAAAATGATGATGGTGGTGATGGTAATGATGAAAATGATGATGGTAGTGATGGTAATGATGAAAATGATGATGGTAGTGATGGTAATGATGATGGTGGTGATGGTAATGATGGTAATGATGATGGTAATGATGAAAATGATGATGGTGGTGATGGTAATGGTAGTGATGGTAATGATGGTAATGATGATGGTAGTGATGGTAATGATGATGGTGGTGATGGTAATGGTAGTGATGGCAATGATGGTAATGATGATGGTAATGATGAAAATGATGATGGTGGTGATGGTAATGATGATGGTAATGATGGTAATGATGAAAATGATGATGGTGGTGATGGTAATGGTAGTGATGGCAATGATGGTAATGATGATGGTAATGATGAAAATGATGATGGTGGTGATGGTAATGATGATGGTAATGATGATGGTAGTGATGGTAATGATGGTAATGATGGTAATGATGATGGTAATGATGAAAATGATGATGGTGGTGATGGTAAAGATGGTAATGATGAAAATGATGATGGTGGTGATGGTAATGATGATGGTGGTGATGGTAATGATGATGGTGGTGATGGTAATGATGATGGTGGTGATGGTAATGATGATGGTGGTGATGGTAATGATGATGGTGGTGATGATGGTGGTGATGGTAAAGATGGTAATGATGAAAATGATGATGGTGGTGATGGTAGTAGTAGTGATGGCAATGATGGTAATGATGATGGTAGTGATGGTAATGATAAAAATGATGATGTGGTGATGGTAATGATGATGGTGGTGATGGTAGTAGTGATGGTAAAGATGGTAATGATGAAAATGATGATGGTGGTGATGGTAATGGTAGTGATGGTAATGATGATGGTAGGGATAGTAATGATGATGGTAGTGATGGTAGTGATGGTAATGATGATGGTAGTGATGGTAATGATGATGGCAGTGATGGTAGTGATGGTAATGATGATGGTAGTGATGGTAATGATGATGGTAGTGATGGTAATGATGATGGCAGTGATGGTAGTGATGGTAATGATGATGGTAGTGATGGTAATGATGATGGTAGTGATGGTAGTGATGGTAATGATGATGGTAGTGATGGTAATGATGATGGCAGTGATGGTAGTGATGGTAATGGTAATGGTAGTGATGGTAATGATGATGGTAGGGATAGTAATGATGATGGTAGTGATGGTAGTGATGGTAATGATGATGGTAGTGATGGTAATGATGATGGCAGTGATGGTAGTGATGGTAATGATGATGGTAGTGATGGTAATGATGATGGTAGTGATGGTAATGATGATGGTAGTGATGGTAATGATGATGGTAGTGATGGTAGTGATGGTAATGATGATGGTAGTGATGGTAATGATGATGGTAGTGATGGTAGTGATGGTAATGATGATGGTAGTGATGGTAGTGATGGTAATGATGATGGTAGTGATGGTAATGATGATGGTAGTGATGAAAATGAAGATGGCAGGCATGGTAATGATAGTACTAATAATTATTGTTGTTATTATGGTAAAAATATATTTAAAAAATAATAATAATTTACACCAGTTATCTCTTCCGACAGTAGGTCAACAGACGACCCAACACTGGCTGTTACACACTGATGTCACTGCACTGAATGCATCTTATAATTAATGCTGCCAGGAGCTGTCCTTGCTGTGTTATTGTGTTCATGTTTTGTCACATCTGTTATTGTTGTAATGTTTTGTGTTATGATGTAAGTTGTTGTATTGAATGTCGTCTTGTTTATTGTTATGTTGATTTTAAGTGTAAGATGTCATGACACAGTTATTTAACAGGTTGTTGTGGACCCCAAGGACAAATGTGCTGCAGCTAATGGGGATCCTAATAAACTGTACTTAACTAAAAACAATAGGGCTTTCCCGTCATAGCAAATGATTTGAAAGCACAGGTGTAGAAGACCCTCACTCGACTACCAATTTGTCTTTTCTCTTCACTTTAGTTTTTCTGTCTTCTGTCAACGTGAAGAGAGAAATGCAGGAGTTGCAAGTTTTCTACAAGGAGCTGGAGGTCTCCTCTCTTGAGCAGATTAGTTAAAACCATTTAAACACTCAATGGAATATATATAATTTTATTTTTTTTACAGACCTTGGTACATTAAGATTAGCTTCACTTTGTAAACCGAGAGGTTATTTACACAGTCCACACATTCAGCTGATCTCTGGAGGTTCATCAATAGGAAACTTAAATACATATAGGAAATGTCTTTGTTTACCTGGAATGCATTGAGAGCTATGAAGACATAGGCGATGACTACAGACAGATGGACGAGGACTCCACACAGCCAGGTCAGACCCAGCACAGGCAGCAGGATGAGAACTGGCCGGGTCACAGCCCTGCACGCACAAACACAACAACACATGAGCAACTGATACATACTGCCACAAACATAAAATAAGACTGAGGCCTCAACAGATCTATGCAATAAAACTTTTCCTCTGTGTTGTGTTGATGCGCCTTTCTATTTCTCAGTTCTTGGTATACCTTTTCTTTGTCGACTGTTTTGAAAACAGGAGTATAGATTGACAGTAGGAGCCAGGAGAGTTTTTCAAGGTATTTCGCTGACATTCTCTACTCTAATATGTCCCCCTTGAATCCTCGTCCAACATCCCCGCACAGCTGTATAGATTTTACCGCCTACCACAGTCATCATTCCATTCTTTGCAATCATCTTTTCAATGATACTGTGTTTATACGGCCAATAACCATTTCATGGGGCAAGGCTAGAAGGTTGCCTTTGTTCAAACCGCCATTGTTGTCAGGCTGCTGCACCTGGGTAAAAAAGATTGAGTTTAAAGACTGCGCTCTGTCTGCAAGGACAAAGCCAGCACCCACTTCCCTCTCTTCCCTTTTATATTTGAATGTTGAGTTTTTCCTCTAATCTCCTGAATTCACACAGCAGACTCGAGCTGGCACAGACTCTGCTTTCAGCGTGTTTGTGAGGGAATGAAGGCAGCCGGCGACAAATGGAGTTCTTGCAAAAGCATCAGGCTAAAACAAATGCACGAGAGAATTAAAAATCTGCTGCGTACTTAGCTGAAGGACAGTTTACCTGAATATGAAAAGAGATCCAAGTCTCCAAGACTTCCTCTTAATGCCTTCTAATCCTAGTGTACTGACTCCCAAATGGCACATTAGCATTCAAAAATACTGACAGAAAAATGTCCTTGATACTCTGAAATCTAATTTGTTCAAAGCCAGCATTCTATTTTAAGTACAAGATAAAGAAAACATGGAGATGGCTTCACACTGTTCATGTTTTGTCATAGTGATGGAGGCAATAACAGCCAGTGACTCTGTTCACTTCAGCTAGATTTTGGCTTCATTTGTTCTGGTATTAGTCTATCTGTCTTTAGGATTTCTGATTCCAACTTATCTCAGTGTAGGCTGGACGGATGTCATTTATGATGCTCACAGATTTTTCATTTATTTATGTTTTCAACCCATGTATTTATTCTGATTTTGCAATATGAAAATAAAAAGACAAGACAGCCCTCATGTTGAATGGACTTGAGCTTGTTAGCACCTTTCTGAGTCTAAACACTCAATGCACTTTTGCACTGCCAATAATTGGATTTGTATCCCCTGGCCGCAACCTTTTTGCTGTTATGGTGAGAAGTGAGTGAAACGCTTTCTGCACACAAGATGACTTTTTTTGTGACATCTATGGTCTTGTTCTTGGTCTTGGTCTTGGTCTTGTCTTGGTCTTGGGCTTGGTCTTGGTCTTGTCTCGGTCTCGCCCTGCCTTAGTCTTGGTCTTGATCACTAAATGTCCTGGTCTTGTTTTTGTCTCGGAGCACCCTGGTCTCGGTTATTGTGGTCTTGACTACAACACTTGCTCACTGTTAACATTTGATCTTTGAACTATTGGTAAAAGAGAAGTTTCAAATGAAAAAATTAACAGTAAGGCTTGTGGATGGAAACATACCTCCTCTTACAGGCAGATGGGGGGGGGGATCATAATGTTTTTTTTTTTTTATCACCCAATCATCACCCCCTCTGGTGGGACAATTTTTTGGCCTCCCTTTTCTTTCACATTGCGAACGTTATGTATTCAACATTTCCTTTTCTTGGGTTTCTTTTTTTCTTTTCTGTTTTAGAAGTGGAGTTTAAAGTAGGAAGGTTGTGATTACATGTCACACAAAAGATACACAACAGCATCCTTCCATCATCATCAAACAAACAAAAACAACAGCAGACAATAACTAGACAATGCAGTTCATACAACGCGGGGACAAAAAAATCATCCAAACTGGCTCAACAATACAGATACATGAAAAAAAGTCATTTTTAAAGAGGTAAGAATAAAGATCAATCACTGTTTTCATTAGGGTAGCATCGCTTTCCTCAACACCCCTCAGCTTCAATGAACTTTTCACATCTATCTCAATAATACTTTTTATTTTTTTTACAAAGCTTTATGAAGACAGATTTCAAAATACAAGTTGTATCTGGTATATGTCAGTGGTTCCCAAAGTGGGAGTTTGGACCCCCTAGGGGTTGCGAGACACAACAACGGGGGTCATGAGGTGCCCTCCAAAAAACAAATACAAATTTGAAATGACTTACATTATTTGACCCATTATTTTGAAATAGTCCTTAAAGGTATAATATGTAGAATTTTCTGACAATGTTTACATACAAATATGTAAATTAATTAATTATTTACCTCAAGTACTTCCAACAGTTATCAAAGCCAGAGAAATCCATAATTTTATAGTTGTATCGGGATGTGTCTTCGTTGCAGCCACCATGATGAGCCACCATGACAGACACAAAATGTTTATCGTTGCCAAGGAAACACCAGATGTTACGTCAAAGACCGCTACATAAGGAAGTGGGAGCTGCTGCTGAAAGCTGCCGTACTGTTGCTGTATGTGCTGCTGTGATCAAAACGTCATGTAAATTATACTTGGATACATCGTCAGTAACCATAATTCTCTTTCTCAGGTTGGTTTTGCCCGTTTGTCTTCACTGCAGTCAACACAGAGTTTGTTTTCACCGGGGGTCGGGGGTAGCAGAGAGAATCACTCCCATGATGCTCCTTCAGCCTCGCTGTTAATTGCTTTGATTAAGATTTTACATACTGTGCGTTTAAGTGAGGTTTGTGGTGAAATTAAATTAAAAAATGTGACTGTAGCAATGTTTGTGCTATTTGTCAATAAAAAAGTAAACACACTCACTGAAATAATATCATTGTATTTAGGCTGCTGTATTCTTTAGAGTTCTTCTAATGGCAATGATTGGATAGGCCTATTAGTGTGTGGTGCAGTAAGACGTTAAATGCTTTAACCATTTCTAGGGACAGAGGGGGTCCCCAGTCTATCACAGTGCTATTTTGGGGGTCACGGGATGGAAAGTTTGGCAACCCCTGGTATATATGGTATACCCTGTACCATCTACTATGTAGGCACTTCCTGCAGTTTAAATCCTCTAAATGTCTTTACACTCTGTTGCTTTGTTTTTGTTTCAGAAGATGTTTGAGCTTAAATGACTTCAAAAGAACATCCAGAATTTGATTGTTTTGATCCATGTTCAGCATTCAGGGAATTAGGATCAATAAAATGTATATTATTTTTATTTTATCTGATATCTAATATAATTGAAATAGTCTACTTAAGCTAATTATAATGGTTGATTGACCTACATTACAGCTACTGTTGTCCAGAGACTGATTTGAATGTAGATATTGACGTAACACAAACATGAATATAAGCAGAGAAAGCACTGCATGGTTTTACCAGAAACACTCTCCTTGCACGTCTTTATGGCTTGTCAGATTCCTTTAAGACCTTTCTTTATGAAGCAGCTGTAATGTAATGTGCTGCTTCAAATGTTCCTTGCATACAAAACTATAGCATAGAAGAATTTCTAGGTATGTTAGTGCTCTCCTCTGGTAGCCATAGCAACATGGACACACTTGATACAAAGAAAAATATGTATGCTGCTCAACCTTTGACTGGCAATCATGCATGACAACTCTGGTGATATTCTTTTTTCTTTTAATGTAAAAAAAAAAATCATGCATATGCAGACCAAAATCAATCATGAATGTATCCAACAAGTACTCTGTGTGTGTGTGTGTGTGTGTGTGTGTGTGTGTGTGTGTGTGTGTGTGTGTGTGTGTGTGTGTGTGTGTGTGCGTGTGTGTGTGTGCGTGTGTGTGTGTATTCAGCTTTTTTGTTGGGCACAGTGAACCACACCAATACTAGGTGATATGAACCTTCTTTAAAGGCAGGGTTGGTAATTACTTCCAGATACATTTTTTAAGATTTTGGTCTAAATTGTCTTCAGGTCCTGACAGTAAATTAATCACTCACACTCGCTCTGAAAAAGGAACAAAGAATATCTGTCATCTGTAGCATCTTGTAAGCCTGTAAAAACTTTGACCAATGTCTGCCTCGAGGTACCAATCTGATGAACCAATCATGAACCTTCTTGTCTCCCTGCTCGTTTTCTACCTTTTGCATGCACAAGCCCACACTCAAAGTTTTATACTGTGAGTTTGTCGTTGGCTGTTGTGAGTAGTAAAATAGTTGTTTTTTTACATGTATTATAATAAAGTTTAGTGTTTACTTACAGAATGAGACGTGAGATGACGTAGTTTCTACACAACGTAAGATATGAGCTGAGGTCCGCTTCTGGAGCAACGGCGCTCGTGCATGTAAGAGAGGGGGCGTGGCTTTAGAGGGAGCACAGAGGGGAGGGGGTGCAGACGCAGCACTGAGGGAATGCCACTTTCAAAATCATGCTAGTTTTAAAAAATAACCAACCCTGCATTTAACTTGAACACCAAAGTGTAAATCAGTCCAAAATGGCCCTCCTCCTCCTGCTGCTGCTGAAGAACTACACACCGATCAATCCACTGCTCAATACAGTCCCCAACCAACACAATAATCCCAGCTTGTTATTATTCAAACGTGTCACAAATATCTAGCTCCATCTTTCAACATGGCTTTGCATTTTGAGGGCGTGTTATGTTACTTTGAAACCAGGGTCCCATAGTAAAACTTCTAGTGTTTTTTTTTCCAGGCAGAAAAGCGCTGGAGCGCCTGCATCAAGCATTTGTGCGCTGAGAAGAAAAGTGCTGCACGTCCATCCTGTCTCTATGACAACAGTCTGTTGACAACGGGTGCTGTATGACTGACACTGCTCTGTTACTTTTTACTGCTTGTTTTATATTTGAGAACATTTATTTCCCGATCACACACGGAGCAAACAGGATGTGGGTGCAGGAAACAATCTGTAGGCGGCAAAACTACAAGAAATATATTTGGAAACGAGCGCCGAAAAGTTGAACGATTTTCAACTTGAATGCTCCGAGCGGTCGCACAAATAAGGCGCTGCGCTTTTTCTCTCTGACCCTGCTGCTCTCTACTTATTGAAAACAACTGAAAAAATGACGCTGGTACCCAGAAACAATCACTAGGAGGACACATGGCCTTGATAACTAAAAGGTGGATGACCTGAAGGCGTGTGTCAACATTTGTCCCCTGAAAGTGCGGCTTTTTCTGAATGACCCAGATTGTTATTCAAACGTGTCAGACGACATTACAGAGAGGATCCTGTCAGCGTTAGGCCTTTCTGTTGAGGTAAAATATGTCTTCTTTTTATTTCTTAGCAAGAAATATCGGTTAAACTGCAACCTTCAAAAAAGTCAGACAGATGCAGTTTTGCTTTGAGTCTTTTTCTTTTTTACATGATTTGTTTCTTTTAAGGGAAATCATAGCCAGACGTATCATTTAACTTGAAGAGAAATTATAGAAGAACAGTATCACTAAGATTTGTTGATATAACAGAAGAAAAAAAAAACAAAATGGGTTCATTTTGCCAAGGCCCTTTTACAAAGCTGAAGGATGCACGTATTTGAACGACAAGCTGCCGTTACCACGTTTTTTCAGTTAATAAGAAAGTTTACAGTCAGCGTTCTGCCTTCACTCTTATGTGTAACATCCCAGACACTGATCCTGATGCATAGCTTCTGCAAGAACTGAAAAACTGCCCAACTGATTTTGCAAAAACAGATTCAAAATGGAGTGCATGCACACACACACACACACACACACACACACACACACACACACACACACACACACACACACACACAGTGCACATACACACATGTGCACACACATACAGTTGTGTTGTGACCAGGTGTTGAGCTGATAAGCCCTTACAGCTCCCACAGCAGACCCGAGTCTAAACTCCCAATCTCTCACACTGCTTCTATTGACTGTGGCTGCCTCGCCCAAACAGAACATTTCTGTGTAAGAGAGAGAGAGAGAGAGAGAGAGAGAGAGAGAGAGAGGTAAGAAAGCCACTGAATCTCACCAGGTGAGGTCAAAGGTCTGCATCTTTGAAGCCGAGCTTGGACTGAGCATCTTAGTCCGGCGGCGAGCACTGGAAACCGTCACCATGACAACCCGACACAGCACTACCGCATTGACCTGCAGGCAGAGGACAATACTGTCAACATGGCCTCTGGTGAACAAGAGACATACCTCTGCAGACCCACTTGGCCTCAAGCTCACATGGAGAGGAGGGAGGTTTTTTCACCCTCCTGCTCAGACTGCAGAAAATCACATCACAGTAAAGAGTACTCAGCTGATGCAAATTATTATAATTTGAATTCCTACCGGCCAGGATGAAAAGACAACATAGTCTTAAAATGCAGAGTTCAATCTCCACCTGGATGTTTACAACCACAGAATGATTTTTACCCTTTTGGCATTAAGGGGAGGAACTGGGTGTTTAAGAAACATGGAATCATGTTTTATGAAAGGTTTTAAATGATCTTTTATTTGTTCATTTCTCATTTCACCTTGATTTCTATTTTTAGATTTGATAATCTTTTTGTTTTATTGTTGAACTTTTTAGTCTGGCAGAGTTGTATCTTTTAATGTGTCTGTCCGTGTTGTTATCGTCTTTATGTGAAGCACTTTGGTCTGTAAGGTTACTTGAAATGTGTTAAATAAAAAAGTCAGGATAAGTTGATTTAAATTAAAATATTACGATACTCATTTAAAGTATTTCTTTTTAGCTGCCCTATGATGGTTAACAGTTATGTGTTTGCAATGCTTTTCGTCTATCCTTGAGGCCTGACTTGTTTTCTTCATAAAACTGAGAAAGTAATCTTTGTGAATTTTCTGAAGCTAACTTAGAGCCATGTTTGACACAATCTTCTTCTTGTTCACTGACCATGGAGCAGAGAGTTCAGGGCAGGGTGCTGCTCCTGCAGGGTTGGGGGTCTCAGTAATCAAATGATGGACCAAGTTTTGTGAACAGTTTGGAAAACGTTTTTTTACATTTTCATTTTATCCTTTAAATCAAGTTATTTTCTAATTATCTCATCCTATACTGTATGTACCTGAGGAATTCTTCTAATTTGTCCCTAGTATTGACCCTCATACTCCCCTCCAGAATATAAGCTTGCATAAGAAGATTTACTTTATTGATATCTGCGAGGGGAAATTCAGTTTTTACACTCTGTTAATCATGCACAACACACACATAGGCTGAAATATACACACACATCGCACAAACAGGATCCTATAGACATGCACTAATGGAGAGATGTCAGAGTGAGGGAGCTCATGAGCTGGTGGGGGTGGGGGTGTGGACTGGGGGGGTCGGTGCCTTGCTCAAAGGTACCTCAGCAGTGCTCAGGAAATGATCGGGCACCTCTCCAGCTACCAGACCAACTTCCATATTTGGTACATAACGGGACTTGAACCTACAGACTGAGCTACTGCCGCCCTGCATGACCCTCCTAATTCAAAGTAAAATACAGCTGGTGGTTACAAACGTCAAGTGATACTTTTTGTGTTATCTCCAGGAAGAAGTTTCTTTTTTTGACTTTCTTTTCAAAATGTTTTCAGATTTATTGCTTAAGTTAATGCAAACTGGGTCACACACAGCAAAAAAGGTCACATGCCACAGAGAGTTGAGCCAGTGTGAGATTACATACGGCCAGCACAAATATAACAGGTCCCACGAAGGCCCAGATGGTGTCAGTCTTCACATTGAGCCAGCAGTGACCGTCCGCCTTGTACTCGTCCACTGATACTGCCAGTGTTACACCCACTATCAGAACAGGTAGTCCTGAAAAACAGTATTGATAAAAGTCAAACAGTAGAAGACATGTAGAAGAAATGCTTTAAAAGACATATTTATGGAACAATGGCTGCAGCCTGCATAGCGCATCAGATATTTAGTCTGTTCGCTTCTCGTTTCTATTTAGTCTGAAGGGGAACATGCAGCCCGTCTGAGCCCAGAGGAACACCTGAATGTTAGGATGCTTATACACACACTGTTCTCAGTCCTTTACGCGACATAACACACAATCACAGAAGGATTTGAAAAAAAAGGAACAGAAGCAGCTGCTGGATGTTTATTCAAAAGAAAAAAAAAACTGGGTTAAGGTTGCATCGCAAAAAAAAGAAAACACAACCTCAAATCCACCACATAATGTTTTTTGTTAAACCCACTGACACAATTTGAAGTATGCTTTGTGCCTTCAGGACTTTCTCCAAAACAGATACATTCAGCGCTTGGTAGGGTAAATATGAAAACAACTACATTTTAAGTTTAAGAGAACAAATGATGGTTTGAGCCATTTAAAGGTACACCAAGGACACACACAGAAAGTTAGTAAAGTCAAGCTTAGTGTGTGACAAATCTCATTTTAGTTTCAATAATTCAACTTGTCCAGTCGTGTGGAGGTCTGTCCTGTGTGTTTCACAGTCTAAACAAAGCCATTTTAAAGTGCAGGTTAGAAGATCCCGAGTGGCTAATCGTCTTTCTTCATTGTGTGAACATGTGTCTTATGAACACTAGTGGAGTGTATCTGGAGAACATTACCAACCCTGCCTTAAAGTGAGTCTCGCCCTGGCCCTGCAGGTGAGAGAAGAAGAAAGCCTTTCTATCATGATATCAGCAAACTGTTGCTGTTAAGGTTAAATCATCAGAACTTCATCAATGGGTTAAAATAAGATCTAAAGTGAGTAAAAAAAAAAAGAAAAAGGAATAGGCTAATATGACACGCTACGTTATGTCACTTACATCTGTACAATACTTCTCATGGGGGAAGAGGCCTGTGTTTATTAAAAAAACTTTTTGACACAATATTATTTCCAGGCAATAGGGACTCACTGAAAATGGGTCCCCACCCACCAGTTGAGAAACACTGCTTTAGAGCGTGTATAGGATTTATTGGTGTGCTGCTGTTTTGTTAAGCTTCAACTAAATTCATATGTCACATGTGTGAAAACCAAACGCTGTGAGTCCTACACACTCTGTGGCTTTTTCAAGAAATACGATCATAGTTTGCTTTTCGAGATAGTTGGCTAGTCACAGTAAGCGACTGTCTTATAATCTCATTATTCACTCTTCCGTCTAGCTGGTCCAGGTTTGAGATAGTGTTAAACACATTTTATATCACTACCTCATTCAGTCGAGCAAAGAGGTCATTAGCCCGACGTGCTGCTCCAATAGTGTTGTAGTCAAGACCTGGTAACTGAGACCAAGACATACCCGAGAGCAGAGTGCTCCGAGTCCGAGACAAGACCAAGACCAAGGCAGGGCGAGACAGAGACCAGAGTGCTCCGAGTCCGAGACAAGACCAAGACCAAGACCAAGGCAGGGCGAGACAGAGACCAGAGTGCTCCGAGTCCGAGACAAGACCAAGACATTTTGAGATTGAGGCAGAGTCAAGACCAAGACCAAAAATATTCATAAAAATTAATCAACGTGTGTGCCGCGGCATGTTACTCATTTAGACCGTTAACACCAGGAAGGTTGCGGCTGTGAATTCAGTGGGGATAAAAATCTAATTATTAATGAATTGAAGTTATTTATTCTTTAAGAAAGAAGCGTTTTCCTTCTTATCACGTGGAAAAATAGCCTTTCAGTGGTGGTCTTGATTTAAAATCCGGAGTCCACCCAGTCTGAGACAGAGACAAGACCGGGTAAAAATAATTTTTATTCCAAGACGAGACCGAGACCTTCAAGAAGTGGTCTCGAGACCTAGACCGATTTCGAGTACAACAACACTCGGCTCCAGCAACGACGATCAATTAAAGGTTGGTGAAGACTCAATGAAGACCGAAACTGACTAAATATAGAACCAGGATACCACAAGTGTTCAACATGTCAGTAAATATATCAACGCACATCTGTTGTTTCCATTTAATTCCTCTGTTGGCTTTGTTTGAACATCAGGGCTGCGTTGTACTTTTTTTTAACTAAATAATAAACATTTCTTATCCTGTAAATTAAATAATAACATCATTTTAAATAACAGCTTTCTTTTTTTTGAAAGTCAAATTTCCCAGAAGAGCAAACAGAGTTATTATGGAGCCGCAGCAGTCGGTGAAGCTGCCTCCCCGTGCACTCCCCCCTGTGTCCCCACATGAACCCTCCGCCTCTCCCTAATCATCCGTCTGGGAGAAAGAAGGCGAGAAAACATCCCATTCCTAACAGCTGCTGAAGCAGGCTAAAGTAAATTCCACTCTCTGAGTTGACTTTAAAGTGAGAGACACACACAAGCTGAACATCTGCTTAGATTATAGCCGTGTCCTTCAGGAAACTTAGGCACTCTAAAACCTGAGACAAAAACATTTTCCTCCTTTTTATGTTGAAGTAGAACGTTTCCTTTGTGCTTTTTGATGTTCCTCACAAATTGGACAGTATCAGTTTGGTGCAAGGATAATTTTTTTTTTTTAGAAATGTTTTCATCTGAATAATGCACAAACATTTCGAAAGGCAAAGTAAGCGACGGCCTGATGTTAAAACACAGGTGAAATAGATGCACACTGTGGTGCAAAATTTTTATATGATGAGTAAAGGCAGCTCAGTCACAACACAGAAACTCCCTCAAACCTGTTTCACCCTCTATAGTTACCATAGTTAGCTATTAATGCTAATGCTACATGTACTCAGAGGTGCTGCTTGTCAACAGGCATGGCAGGCAACTGCTCGGGGCCCCAAAGGGTTGACAAACTTTAAACCGCAGCAGTAATTCAAAATGTGCAAATTTAGCAATGACGTAGTTAACCTCCCTAAGGGGGCCCCGTCTGACAGCACTCACTCTCATTGCCCTGCTTAGCATCGCATGCATTATTCCTGTGAAAACCAAAGTTTGTTAATGAAAGTCACTGAAGGAAAATGAAGAGGAATCATCGGTCTGGGAGTGAAAAAGGAAGAGCGCATTGGGACAGACATAATGGTGCTTAGGGGCTCCCAATAAATATTTGCCTAGGGCCCCAACAGACTCTAGAATCGCCACTGCACATATTTTTACCATTGTTACTGACATTGAAGCTTTAAATCTTTCTTATTCATTGTCGTTGTTGTTTGTCTCAATCATTCTTCTCCGTCCTGCATCTCTCACTATCCCTCTTTCCAAGCTCAACACAGTCTCAGTAGACAGCTGTTCATCATGAGTCTGCTTCTGCTCGAGGTGTCTGCCTCTTAAAGGAAGTTCTTTCTTGCCACTGTAACTCTGCAAAATGTGCTCATGATGGAATAATGTTGGGTCTTTGTGGATAATATAACAAAGAGTATGGTATTTTACCTGCTCTTTTGTAAGAGTGTCCTGTTATAACATTTGTTATGAATTGGCACTAAAAAAAATAAAGTTAGATTGATTGATGAGATTGAACCGGTTTGTTCAATCTACACCATGCCTCAAAAATAATGTCAGCATTGACATATGATGTAAATACTTTAAATAAGCCCAAATTTTCCTTGAGGTCAGACGGGTTTATGTATAAAGAGTAGGCTAATGTTTGGCAGAGTGTAGATGGAGTCAAAGCAGGGTTTCTTATGAATATTCTTATTTATTTATTTGTTTGGTATACCATTTAGGACTCATTTACCTGCTGTCCTTATTTGTTCTGCTTTACAGTTTTAATATTCTGTTATATGAATGGAGAGAAAGGTTCTTGCAATTTTGAGGCCTAATGGGCAGCCTGGCTCCGACATTTTATGGCAAAAGTAGATTTTTTCATAGGCCAAAGTCAGTGTAAAAAAAAGAGATTAAATTGTCAATTAAATGAAGTTGATGCAGCCTTCTTTGGATTGTTCAATAACAAAGACAGTAAGAGAGTGCTCGTTTATTTAGTATTATGTTATCAAATTGAAAACTAAAGTTTCCTGCATATATAAAGTCTCTCCTGTCACAGTCAGTGGTTCAAACCCGTTTAAAATGTGATGCATAATATATCTTTCTGTTCAGAAAATATATGAAAAAATATGTTTAAATGTGTTCATCGAATAAATTCCTTTAATTTGACACATCAGCCTTACTGAAACACGGCTGGTTGAAGTATCGTAGCTCGTTCATCGTCTCTGTGATGCTGAGCCGAGCTGAATTTAAAAAAAGTTTAACTTGGGCGCACCTCTCAGTGATGTCACCTCTGTGCGTCCTATAGGAGGGAAGATGAGATCACAAAAAATGGTGTCTGTTTACAGACCTACCAGAACATCAGAGAGAAATCTCTATTTTGAGAAGAAATGTCCGACAGTTTGGGCCGACCAGGTGTGTTTTTAACAGCAGCAAAAATGTTTGTGGTGCTTGTGAAGCGGTTGTTATAGAGCTGCAGCTTCAGGACGAGTCTAAACTCCCACAAATCCAAAGTCATTTCATGAACACACACCCTCTTCTTCTTTGCTGCTTTCTACTAAATAGTGGAGAGACACACACATGCTATGCATCCAATAAGTAGATATTCTTTTGGTCACCTAGTGCGCCTTGTGCGCTCCCCTTCTGCTCCCCTCGTCTAAACTTGGGGCTGTTTTGGCAGGCTAATAGATGACATACATGTCACTAATACAAACACAGCATCCGCCCACCTGACTGATGTGGTGTGGCCTCACGTTGCAGTTGTGGTTGTGCTCCTCACCTGTGTTCTGTCAGCGACCCACAGATCAAAAGTGACCTTTACCCTCAAAAGACAAATTCTTCACACTCTTAACTCCAGAAACAGCTCCTATAAATGATTAATTAACTTCTACCGAATTTGTTTTAATGTATATATTGTATTCTTCCTTTGTCTGTCACATGTTTTGTCTTATTCCTTCATTTATCTATTTAAATGGCCTTTTTGTGAATTTGGGCCCCAGCCTCTCTAAAATCCTCAGCACGTTCTCGTCTGCAGACAACTAAATAATCAATCAAACGTTGAAACGTACGAGCTATGGCGGGAGATGAGATTTTACCCCAGCCAATGATGTAGTACAGCTTCATCCTGCGGTCCTCGCTGATGTTGACGGACACAACTTTGCTCCAGAGCAGCAGGCCCTCCACCAACATCCAGGAGAAGGATGCCATGAAGAAGAGGTGAAGAAGAGCGGTTACCACGAAGCACGCTGCCTGCAAGGTGAAAAAAAACAAACAAATAAAGACAAAGGTGGAATATTCAGCACTGTAAATAACATCACAGATAATAAAGCAGCTTTACTACTTTGAGTCTGTATTTCATCGACAGAGGAACAAAAATATTCACTTTGTCCTGAAAAATGGGATGATGTAGCGAAGATGGTGTCATTAAGGCTGTGTAACATAAAGCAAGTGATGTGTGTGGCAGGTCAGATGCGTTGGGCTAACACTAATATTTGCTATGTACAGTCTCAGTATGTTCCGCAATGTGACGCTATAGCTCAATAAAAAATGTTCTGAAAAGTAAACGTAAGCACAGTGACGAAGAGTCTGTTGGGGCCCTAGACCAAAATGTACAGTGGACCCTCCAACCCGCAGCCATCACCTTTATGTTATATAATATTTACCATTATCAGCATTTGTAGAGGGCACTTTATCCTTCTTTTACTGGTGTCAGAAACTTAATCATCCAATGTCTGACATTCCTTTTTCCTCATTCTTCTCTGACCGATGATTCCCTTTTTATTTTTCTTCAGGGACTTTGAGAATCTTTGGTTAACATCATAACTCATGTTCAACAACTTCCTTACTATCAATAAGCAGTGATTAGGAGTTATCGAGGGCAAATTCTTAGTTAATTGTCAATAACTATAGACTATGGTCCTGTAGAATAAGGTACTAATAAACGCTCAATAATGATTAATAAGCAGCCAGTATGCTACTAATTAGCAAGCTAATAAGAAACTAGTTAAAGGAAGAATGTGTGACTTTTTAAAATCAAGTATAGCCTCTAAATGTCTCTGAGTCATGACTGTCTACAATGAGTGAGAAGCTTGAGTCCTGCCCGCTGTGCTGTTGTCAGCACTGTGTTTACATCATGTTTACGGACGGGACGGTCTGGCGTATAAAGCTGTTTTAGTCAAGAACTAGAGAAAAGAAGAAGAACATACTCACTGCTTATTTGGATGTCACATAAGTTTCTTTAGATCTCGGTCATTCTGTGTCAGTTTATGTGCAATATGAAGCTGAGTTAACCAAAGTGTGCTAACATTAGCATGCTAACACAAAAAATGCAAACCACAGGCAGCTCAAGCAAAGGACTATTTTGTCCGTCGCTTGCGCTTAATAGTGTTTAATCATGGTGCGTTCTGATTCATAACTCCTTCGTGCGAACACAAGTGGAGGGGGGTTGGAGATGTGTCTATGGAGGAGAGCCGAGGCTTCAGAATAGAGGAGGAGTGGCCAAACAGCAGTTTGTTATGGTTTAATGCTGGTGCTCAAGGGCGACATCTACTGGATCAAAAATTTACCACTGTGCCACCAGCGCCCCATAATTTTCATTTTATAAATAATAATTTTGTTTTTATTTTGTGTACATACAAATGTTAGGGTTAGGGTTAGGGTAAGCTTTCTTGTTTTCTTATTTGTATTTTTTGTGTTTCTTTTACTTAAACATATGACAATATATAATTATGACACATATGAAGCCCCACCTCGTTTGCAGATGCCCAGTCGCTGCACATCAGCAGCAGCTCAGCGATGCCCAGAGCAACGATCAGGTTCTTATGAACGGTGGTTCGGTCTGATTTAGGGACACTGCACATAAACACAAACCCATGAATACACAATAACTCAAACAAAAGAGAATATGTGAGAAAAAGATCTCACATTAGTTCTCAGAATTAAAAAAAAAAAAAATCTTCACTCTGTTGCTGTTAAAATATTTGTAGAGCACAGTGTTCTGTTTCTTTCTTTTTTTTTAAATCTCCAGTTATTGAAGTGAATCTGGCAGGGTTTTATGAAATACTTTTCACCCTCTGTGCTCTGCGGAGTGCACTCTGTGATGTTTGTGACTCACCCCACAGCGATGAAGAGGATGAAGGTGAAGAGGAGGCCACACAGAGACACTCCACAGCCGATGAACGTCAGCACCTGCAGAGCTTTTTCGTTCTCTGGGCTCCTCTGACACACACAAATACACACACAGACAAACACACACACAGGCTGTAAATAGCACACAAAGTGCGGATGAAAGCTCGCACAAAAATACAGAGTGATAGTTGCAGGGAGAGGAATGTTACCTGGGCTTCATAAACCTGAAGAAGCAATGCAAAGTTGGTGGTGTGGTTGCAGTAGCACACAGTGTATCCATGTTGTTTGGACACTACCTCGCAGCCTTTCGTATTCCACCACCCACCCGCCTCGGGACTAGTCAGACACAAACAGCACATACTGACATATCCATTGTACATACACAATGTGTCAAGAATGAAAATATTCTCCTATCTAAAAGTTTCACAACATTTTATCAGATTTCTTTCCAAATGAAACCGGTGAGATAAGTGTGGTGTTACAGAGGAATCTGAGACCTTCAAATTGCCCACGCTTTTTATGTTGTGTGTTCATTGGTTCTTACTTGAGTTCAAAATCCCAGAAGGCACACACTGGATCGTAAACGGTACCAGCAGGATTCTGTGAGAAAAAGAAAGTGAATCTGATATTGAATCAAGAAAACAATGGTGAGGGATGGCTGTGGATATCACACATTTTGCTGACCTGCGCTCTGTGCTGGAGCTTGAAGTGAACCGCCGTGCTGACCGGCTGGTCGTCTCCCAGCACTGTGGTGGAAATGACTGAGGAGCCCAGGACAGTGCCCAAATAACTAGTAATGGAAAAAGATCCATATGTTATAACAATGGACCTATGGAGCTATGAATGGAAGAACATGTTGAATATGTTCTACTCCAAGACAGATGGAAAAATAATTATCTTTACCTAGTTGTCTTTGCAAGTACAATAAGAACATCATTTTAAGTTTTCCACATGATTTTTTCACCAAATTAAGATAACATGAGATGAGCTGTAAAAGAGAGGAGATTAAATATAGCAAACAAGTGATAGAGATCGATACAGTCTAGAGAAAAAACAACAACACTATAAATAAAAATAGTAAATGAAAAACTACAAACTGTGTCAACATTTCCCCTTATAAATTACATAGATACTGATATATATATATTGTCTTCAGAACATTTTGGTTTAAAGCTTCACAATCCAGGAAGCTAGCTCTTTTTCTCAAATATGAAATAGTACTTCAATTAACCACCAATTTATATTTATTACTATTAGTTTTTCATAAAGAAAACTAAATGTGCAACAACTTGGATTTAATTCAGTTCCTCAAATCATCCCATATTGACCTCTTTGCTATATGCATGCCAGTAGCTTGGCAATAAGTCTGTGTAAGGTAAGAACTTTAGAAATACATTTTCTCCTGTAACCTGTAGTTCCTTTGTTTCTTCTTTGGGGGTCCGATCAAACCACTAATTTTATTCAGTAGACAAGGGAGCCCACATGCCATTGACAGCCTGTTGTGTTAAACATGCCACACTGGGACCCTGTGGTGATGTACATCCAGACATTTCAAGCTTTACCCGTGCTCGTACGTTACCTCTGGCTGCCGTCAGTGACAGTAGGAACCATGGTGATGTTCTCCCCCGGATTGAAAAGAGGCCGCAGCGAGCCGTACCACGTGTTAACCAACGTGAGCCGGTGGAAGCCTGCGGTTTCAACACAACAGCAAGAAGAGAGGCCTTTTGAGCTCGTGCCAGACAAGACGTCAAATGAAACATCAAGAGAAATGTGGTTCATTTAGGATAACTTATTGTTCATCGTCAATAGCTGTTGCGAAACCCAACAAAGTGGCTCCATCTGCACTTCACTTCACAAGACCTTGGGAGTGTATGTGAATCCATGCACATTCACAAGTGTGCTGTTAGTGCATTGCAAGACAAGGTAAATAAAAAGCCTCTTTGAAAAGACTGATAGTTGTGCTAGGTAAAGTCTGAATAAGTTAATGCTCTTAAATGATTGGATCTTGAAGCATTTTCCTACCGTTGTTATGGAGATCCTGTATCTTGTGATGTGGGACTGAAATGCAGTCTACACTGGTGTGTTTGTCTGTCTCAGGCCCGCAGAAGCTGGAACCTTTGGATCCGTCCTGCAGCCTCTGCTGCTGCACCTCCAGTTCTGAGAAACACAGCACAACACAGAGGGGGGTTTAGACTTCCTGCTCAGAGTCTCTGCATAAAGAAAATATACTTTATAGGGGCGTTAGTTTTTCCTGATTTTTTTATCTTATTGTTGGTTGGTTTTATTCAAATCAGATGCAATGTTCTGGACTCTGTCAAATATGTGAGAGCTCAATAACAAACGATGAGACCGAAGTGTAAATAAATGTTTTCGTCACATTTTTCTTTCTCACTCCTGTTTGGCCTTTCCTCTGCATCCATTCAGTCACTTTTTAAGAACCACACTTTCAGAACAAGAGCAATTGTTGTCTGAAAATTCAATCAGCGTTGATTAACCTGCGCTGGAACTGTGTTACCATGGCAACTTTATCATGCGCCTGCAGGATCGTTCGAAGGAGTCGCTTTTATTTTATCTGAGGAATCTACTTGAGATTCTTTTTCTTGCCACACCGAGCACAGAAAGAAATATTTTAGTCAAGATGTTCCAAGAGCAAATCCTCACAATGCGTGAGGAAAGTTCACAATGTGATAAGTCTCATTGCATAATTAAGAGAGTTTTCTCTCCAACCCTGCCCCACACACTGCTACAAATTTCTTTTTATTGAATTATTGCTGACCTAATGTTGAGGTCAGAACTGAAAGAGAGAGAACACCTGAAATGTAGCTTATGCAACAGAAAACCTGTCCATACATGCCCACTAACAGTCCTGTATTTTTGATATACTCAGACTGTACAGAGATGGAGCGTCACTAAAGTGTTTGGTTAATAATATCCCTGTTACATTCATTTTCTCTGACGAATAGGTGTGACTAATCTGTCAGTCTGTAACCAATTAGGGGTGTGAGTCTCTCCTTTACAAGACGATCTGATGCAGGGACGATTCATTAAAACACAGAATGATTCGGTATGATTCAGTTTGGTCCAATGAAATTTGATGATTGAATCCAAAGTATTTCTTTTACTTCATGGAACCCAGTGACAAATGATAGCCTCTGTGTCTTTTCAAAATAAAGTAAGAATAAAAATATGTCCTATAGTGTCTAATAGACAAGAGAATCTGCCTTACGGTACAAACAGATATTTTGTCATTGTGTATACTATGTGAAGTCTTCATCACACACCTGCCCAGGTGTCTCACTTTGACACGTAGTTGGGGGAAGAAATACATTTTTGTTACAGACACAGAAATCTTTACTCTCCTGTCGGCTGCGTCTCTCTTCATGGGCTTTGTAAAGCTCTGCTTACAATTACAAGAACTAACTTCCTCCCAGAGTTAACCCAGAAAGGCAACTGAACTATAAAGAATGAAATATTGAAAAACAAGATGCGGAAACTTATGTATTTGTCTTCTAGTAAGTAATGGATTAAACATGTCACATGTCGGGGCGCCGGTAGCCTAGTGGTTAATGGACACGCCCATGTAAGAAGACTTTAGTTCACCAAGCGGCTAGTTTGAATCAGACCTGTGGCTGCTTTCCTGCATGTCATTCCCCACTCTCTCTGTCTTTCCATGATTCATGGCACTATCAACTGTCCTCTCTCAATAAAGGCTTAAAAAGCCCAGAAATAAATCATTTAAAAAAAAAGTCAGCTTAGATCTATTTATGATATATATATAAAATGAGACGTCACATTACAATCGATCCAGCTAACAGTGGACTTCTCTCTCTCTCTCTCTCTCTCTCTCTCTCTCTCTATCAGCCGTCACTTACACTACTTTATCTATGGGTAGATGGTTTTTATTTATAAAGGATCTTAGATGGCGATTGTGCACTGAAAAAAAACATGGTCGGTAAATTTTGCAGCCAGTCCTCCTTGATGGACCCTCACCTCATCACACATGTCATTGTTGTTGTATAAAAATTCCTCTGGTATATTTGTTTCACATGGCTGTGTGTGTGTGTGTGTGTGTGTGTGTGTGTGTGTGTGTGTGTGTGTGTGTGTGTGTGTGTGTGTGTGTGTGTGTGTGTGACTCACTAATATTGGGGCTGTGAATGGTCAGGCGGTCAGTCTCTGCCATCAAGCGGGGGCTCAGGCTGGTCACCATCCGGTCGATGCTCTTGACCACATCCATGGGGCCGCTCACCACCTAAAACACACGAAGCGACGGTATCTCAGCAGAGTCGCACTCACCCAATCTGCCCCGCTGAACATGCATCAAAGCTAAAGAGGTACATTTCAAAATGACCATTCAAATGCCACACAATGGGAAAATGCTTTCAGCGCCACTAAATGTTTGCAGGAGTCCACACACAGTTTGTCTGAAAAGGGCACACACAGTTCAATGGATCAGCCTATAACGCAGGGTACAGTTGTGGATTTTGTCATTGTCTGCTTTGAAACCCCTCACTCTGAATTCAATATGCCAGTCTAAGAGCTGAGCCTTGGAGGCAGAGCGGGGAGCAGAGCGAGGGAGGTTTGTGGATGAGTACAGCCACAGCCTTTTCAGAGTGCTGTTCATCCATTGAGTCTGGGCTGAGGTGGCCTTGGAGTGCTGAGAGGACCTGAGGGGGGGGGGAGACGAGGCAAGCGCTGAGAGAAACACAACACTTGTCATAAGGCAACCTCATCAAGTTGCACACATCAATACCGCAGCGACAGAAGGGAACAAAAACAGACTTGGTACGTTAATAGAGTTTAGTGGGAAAACAATGCACCGACTGTGGAGAGCGTATTTTTCCTCTCGTTAATGTTTTTTTCTCAACATGTATGGGTTGCCGCTTAAGCGTCTGTCAGCTCTGTTCAGCTATTCTCTTGGTAACTTTCCAATTATGATGACGAGCTGGGCACTGTGACAGTGAATATAGAAGCATACTGCCCTCTTGTGCTTCAGAGCTGAAACAGCATCCATCCATCTATCTTATCTATCTATCTAAACTTTTAAAGATTTAAAGAGACCAGCTCCTAGACACAGATCATCCTGCAGGAGATTCCAGGCCTCAGCGTACCTGAAACACATTTTCCCACGCTTCCAGATGCACTTTGGGAACTCAAAACAAAATACCTTTTGTGACTGGGTTGCAGAGTGAAGATTGTGCCTTCCAGCTCTTTTCACATGAATACAATCGCACAGGTATGAGGGAAGCAGATGAAGAACAGCCTTATGAATAAGGACATGCCAATGATTTTGTCTATGCTTGGACGATGCAGGCCAGCCAACTCGATCATACAAAGTTCAATGATGAGTCAGGGCCCTGAGACTTGTTATGAACCTCAGCGCACCATGATATTGAGAGGATGCATGCATGTATGAAACATCCCCTGTAATCACTAATTTTTAGTGCTACATAACTATTATAGTCCTGATGCAATTTTTCAAGGATTTTAACATTTTTTTTATAAATCCTCTGTATACAGACTATTTTGCAATGTCCTACATTCTTCTACACAGAGAGTTAATAGATAAAAAATTCAATAAATAACGCAGGAAGGTTTGTCTAATGTGTGTGTAGGGAAAAGAGCTTAACAGTGACCGCCCACTTTTTCGGCGGCTCTGGTTTCCAGACTTAAATCTCCCCCCGTTCCAATCCTCCATTGACATTTCACAAAATCCTTACATCCAGAGATTGAAGCCTGTTACCAAGACAACAGCTACCCCTATACTCGTGACTTCAGTACATGTGATTCGGCGCCAAAAACTGTATTGAAAAACGATTGTGGGTTGTGTAGTTCTTTTCCCCGATGTTGAGAATATAGAGTTATGACATCATAGCTCATGATCAAATCTGCTATGGAGAAAATTAATGGGATTTTTTTTACTTCCAGAATCACACTGATGAGCCCTATTGGATGATTGTAGTCATATTATCAGCATCATGTGAGTTGGAGAGATCTAAAAGATGAGTCTCTTACATCTTTAACTCTTGTCCTGATGAAAGTGACAATAAGACACTGTCCTCATCATTATCCGTCTCCTCTGTCTGGATGCTCCATTGACTACCTCGCTTGTTTACACAGACTGTACAGGAGACAAACATCAGGGTATCTGGGTTCCAGCTGCTTCAGTTTTTGTTTTATTTTTTATTTTTTCTCTTAAGCAACAATGTTATGTCTCCAAATATAAGTCAATGGGTGCAGAAAGTAAAACAGGCCTGTATTACCTTAATGACACTGACTACAGGCAGCCTCGGGTCGTGACCATGGGGGTTGAAAGATGAGGAAACTTTGAAGATATTTGGCAGCTGTTGATGATGACATAAAATCAGCCTTTTATCAAAGTTTGTTCCTTTATAGATTTTAAGGTCAGATTTTAAACAGCTCTAACTAGGGATGGACAATTATTCTTTAATTAATCAAAACAGACATTCAGAACCTCTAATCGACGTTATCTTGCCCATGTCGATTATTTTGATTATTTTCAGTACAGTGTCACATGACGACACGTCCAATCCGGGACAGCAATGTCCGACACATTTTGTCTTTATGGAAGACGACACTGAACAAAAATAAATCAAATGTAAACACTGCAGAAAGACTGTTAGCAAGAAATGCAAGATATTTATTTTATAGTTTTTTGAGAAGATCATTTCTACATTAAAAGTAAAATGTGTCGTTTTCATTTCAAGCAATGCTTTAATAGTTGAACATATTCACAGTAGAGACCATGTCAGAGAACTATGAGGACAAAAAACAAAAACAAATAATCGTTCTTTAATAGTAATCGAGGTCAAATGTTAAATTAATGGTGATATTTATTTGAGGTCATATCGCCCAGCACTAGCTCTGATGTTGTTCTTTGAAACTTAACTTAAGCTTGAGCCCTTCTTCCAGAGGACACTGAGGCTCAACAGACCCCCCTGTGATCCTTCTGAAGAAACTTCTCCTGCTACACATTAGAGAGTAACCTGACATACAGCTGTACTGTCCGGTGTTTAAGCTGCACTGAAACAGAGAAGAAGGATCTTTAAAGGATCATTCAAACAGCTCAGTGGATTGTTGGCTCCCCTCTCCCATCCCTCGGAGACATCAACTCGAGCCGTCCTCACAAACTTTGCTTTGTCCACTTAAAGGGTCTCACGACACCCTGGACACTCTATGGTCACCACCCTTCCCTCAGGCAGACTCAGAACTATTCACAGACAGACAAACATGCTACGAAACAGCTTCTTTCTGAAAGCTGTGGAGAAACCATTGAATCCGTAAACCCCCGCTCTACCAAACAAGACGCTTCATACATGTGCAGTATTGACCTCACTGTTGCTAAATAGAGCAATGACTATTCATTCACTGTACAATGACTATTCATCTTATTTATTCACAATTTCATTCCACTATATCTGTTATTTATTTGTCAGTGTGTGTATGTCAGTGTAAAATAACTATTTCTTTATTCAGCAAATGCACCATGCTGTTTACCCCTTCAGTACATATATGTATGTATTCATCCAGTCACTGCACTGTAACTGTTTACTTATCTATTCACTGCACAATAACCATTTATTTTTATCTGTCTACTGACCATGTTTGTCTACTAATTCAATGTAGCTAAATGTACAGAGCTAAGGATATATGTTTATATTGGACCAGATTTTCTAACAATGCTGCACAGGACTGGTGCAAAGAAAGATTTGTTGTTCTCTTTTATACAATGAAAATAAAGTACCTCTGTATCCTATCTATCTAATGTGATTACTGGAACAATGACTGAAAAGTATTCACTGCTACATGTCCTTTGAGTCGCTTATAGAGTAATATTTCTTTAAAGGCAGGGTTGGTAATTTCATTCATTTACACTTTTTTAAGATTTTGGTTGAAATTGTCTTTAGGTCCTGACAGAAATTAATAACTCATGTAATTTGAAAAAGGAACAAAGAAAATCTGTCATCTGTAGCAGTTTGTAAGAATGTAAAAACTTGACCAATGTCTGCAAGGTACCAACCTCCCTGTCTCCCTGCTCATTCTCTACCTCTAGCCTGACACAGATGACGGAGTTTATACTGTGAGTTTGTCGTTGGGCGTCGTGAGTAGTAAAATAGTCAGAAGAACACAGAAGGGAGAGGGCGTGTGTAGACGGAGCCACTTTCAAAATCATGCTAGTTTCTTTATATCCCTGATAGTTTTGGAAGCAGCTGAATGTTTTCAGCCATTTGACCAAGGAGAAAAAGTATATCGTATTTCATCGTATCGTAAAAGCATTACATTAGCTTTAAAGGTTTGTAAATGCTCCAACAGGAAGGAGCCTCTTCAGGGCTGTGGAAAAAGTGAGTGTGTGTTTAAGTGCTACCTCTTTGATGGCCTGCCACTTGAGGGCGTTGTCTTCACTGATGATGCTGTCGGCCACACTGATGAAGTGCTGGCTGAGCTCCTGGACTCTGTCCTGGCTGTGGTTGGTGGCATCGGCGAGCGGCAGCGTGGGGACGTCGGCAGCCAGAGACAGCAGCTGGATGAGGGCCACCATGTCTGTTGGCTGCAGTTCTTCCTGAGTGTCTTCCAGGGCCTGGACAGAGACGTCCAGTAGGGCAGATGCCTGAGCCAGGCTGCTCAGCTCCGACGGCTGCTGCCCCAGTGTGGCCTGGGAGCCGAGACGGAGACATCAGGTTCAACATGGATACAAGACTTCATCATATAACATCTCATATCAATAACAAAACTTGCTTCATTTCTGTTACTGACACTAGTACTATGTCGGCTTAAGAGATTAAGCTCCAACAAATAGATGTGTTCCATCTATTTGTTGGAGCCCTGGTGTTAGGCATACTTTACAGGCCAAGAAGAAGGTGTTCAGCAAAAATTTGGATGAAAGTTTCAAGTTTCAATATTTTTGAGAAGTTGGAAAATGTCAGCTGCATGAAGATGTATGGGTTTATCTACCTGTGTTTTGTTGGAAAGCTTCATCAGATGGTTCATGAAGGCAGAGGGCTGCAGGTTCTGAGAATCACTCATCTGCTTCATCTTCAGGTAGCGCTCTGTGCCAAAAACAACATGTGGATGATGAAATAACATTTGATGCTCTGCTGCTTAAAGAGCTCATCCTTAAGGATGTCCAGTCATCATCATTGCCCCTTTGACATCACTTCTTTAAAACCCTAATAACAGAGTAAGAGACTCACCTCTGCTGCTCCTGCAGATGAACGGCAGCGAATCAGAGCACTCCGTCACCACCAAGAGAGGGAGTTGATCCTGCCAACCCTGCAGTGTCCTGCAGCCCTGCAGTGCCATCTGCTGGAGGACTACTGCTAACACATTCATATGATCCCACATTCAGACACACAGTGATACAACAACAAAAAAGTCAGCCTGAAAATGTATCATCCTCATGTGAAAAATATAAGCAATAGATGGAAACATATGCAAATTGATTCAAAAGAACAATGGAAATAAGGAAAATGAAGAGGCAGTACATTTATAAAAAAAACATATTGAATGAGAAAACACATAAAGCTTGAGATGTTTTCACAGATCGGACTGCAGAGATCTTGAAGAAGAAAAGTGAGATAGTGGGGGAGTTACTGTTCTCTGCATGGAGCTCTGTTGTTCCCCAAGCTGCCCCCGCACTGATTGAACTGTGGGAATCCCCTCGAACCATCCCTCCCTCCTTTCCTGTTTCACTCCCTTTCATTCTGACCCCTTAGTCATCCACATTTTTTTTTTACAGGTGTCTCAAACTGATTAAGTTCATCCTTACACAATATAAATTAACAGGCTTTATTCCTGAATCACCGAAAAACTCAAACACAGACACCATCGAGCAACCACAAGTTAACCCTTACTAAAACGAGTCGACGCACTACAATTAAGGTTAAGTTCAAGTTTTTACAGTGACCACTACCTAATGGAGTAAAGTCACCATGAGCTAATCCATAAGAAGTTTGCTTTATGGACAGTTTTTGGGAATATATTGGATTAGCGAGTTGGATAACTCAATATGAGTAAAGTCTGGGATCTAAGATGTACTCGTCAGGATATTGTGTCTCTTTCATAAAGTGAAAGAAAAGTCCAAACACATTTTAAGAAATGGTTGCTATGACTGTGAGTCATAAGTGTATTAAAGTGTGTTTATTATTGAGTCTGCCTTCGTGTCCTTTTCTTGTTTGTTGAGTCTGTTTTTGTGCTGCGCATCAGGTGCCGCCCGATGACTGGGGGAAACTTTGGAGGAGAGCCGAGGGCGCCTGATTCAAAAGGGAGCAAAAGGGAGAGTCATGTTCCCCTTTTGAAAGATAGAAACTTTGTGTGTTGACGTATTGTTAATGTTGTTCAGTCTTTATTCTGTTGTGGGGAGAGTAGCCTTTTTCTTATGATTCATATTTTCTCCTGTTTTCCTGGAGTTAGGCAAGATGCCTGTATTTTCTTTGATTTACTGTATTTGAGGTGAGGTAGTTTTGGATTTCACTTAGATGTTCTGTTTGTTATGTTGCCGGTGTTCTACCTGAAGTTCGATTAATTTTGTGAATATGGTAAATAAAAAGATTAATGTGGATTGTAAATTCATGATTTTTGTTAATCATTGGGAGTGAGGAAGGAGAGAGTCACATTTCTCCTAAGCTGGTTGTAACATGGTGGAAAATAAGAACAAGCAGTGATTTTGTGACTTCCTTTTACCATGTTTTCTACATGCCGGATAGTGTGTACACATGTTTTTTGGAAATCTCAGGAAATGTCATGCTGTTCCTTTTTGTGTGCAATCCCAAACATGTCCAAGTGCACAAGTGCAGTGTTGCCAAAACCCAATGTTTGTCACAGTCCCCATCCCCTGTCTTTTACTGACACACAGGTGATGTCTGTTTAAGGTCTTTGCATGGTACTCTTTGTTTTTTTTAGTAAGGTCTGCTCTCCTCCTTTTTAAATTGTGCTTCATGTTAAATAATCTGTCTCGTAAAGTTGATTTTTACACATCATACAGTAAAGCTAAATGCTGATTTGTTTCACATAGCGTTAAACTCCTGGTGTCATGGGTCAAAGTCCTTCAGCATTTGACCACTTCCCAAAGAGGACTATGTCGACCGCTCTTCTATGTCACCTCCCTCTGATCTCCAAATTCGACCAGGACGACATAAACATTATTAGAGATTACAGTGCATTACTTTCTGCAGGGATAACTACACAAAGTGAATAAGCTGGGTAGTGTCTGCTAAGAGACATAAGCAGGGCTACTTTCTCAGACGTGACAAATTCACAACTACCATAATCCCTTTCAGTAAATAATACACTCATTGGCAGGCTTTGTCCTTCATGGCTTTGGCCATCAGAAGGCTGAAGACAACAAGTAGGCTTAACATTTTAACCCCTTTCCAAATCATGCTATGTTTAGAATAACATTAGCCTATGGGAAAAAAGACGAGCTCTAAGTCTTTGAATGAGAACCCCGACTGTGTCACTTAAGAGACACAGTCAGGGTTCCAATTCAATGTTCAAGAAAGAAAGAGCAGTGCAGACTGGGAAAAAAAAGCTCAACTTGGCTTGGCTTTTAATGTAATGCAATGTCATCTGGAAAGACAACTGTGTAAGCCAATCCTAAACAGGCAACTGAACGATTCTCTGATAGTCTGTAAAATCAGATCTGAATCTCAATTGTTGCAAGAAAAGATACAATGATATTCATAGCGATATCTACAGTTGTTATATGTCGTGATTTGATAAAACACCCTGCAAAGGTTTAGGTTGGATTAACCTTTAAAGGGGACATATTATGAAAAGTTCACTTTTACAGTGTTTTTGAACATATTACCTGAGTGTCTACTGACCCACAAAATGTGAAATAAACCCATCCAGTCTGCCTAAGTCTTACAACACAGAGAAAAATGCTCTGTTTCAAATTTGCTCAGCTTGTGACGTCACAGTGGGATTCTGGTAAAAATAAAAATCCCCTCCCCTCCCCTGGTATCTCCACCCATGGACTGCAACCCAAGCCTAGAACAAAACTTTTACGCAGGTTTACCATTTTTATTCTCACTAGCAAAGGAGTGATTTCTTCAGGGAAAACTCAGGGGGGGCTCATTGCATTTAAAGAGACACACACACCAAAACGGAGGGTTCTGAGAGAGCTGGTTTATACAGAGTCACAAACCTCCTCTAGTGCTTGATTCATGTTATATTTCGACCAAAGCACAGCACAGATGTTTGGACTGACCATTGATAAATCCTAACTCTTCTCCTCATTGCAGATAAGAGTTCAAATAATAGTCAAGATATATTATTGAATAGTATCGAAATTCTGTACCTGTATGGTACTGGAACCAACAAGTCCGGTACCAACCGGGGAAAAACAGACTTCAGTGCTTCATTTCTGTACCAATCACTACATGTCAGATCCAAAGATGCTGACCCTTCTTTACCTTCTCTGCTCAGTGAGCTTTCCAATATCACCCTCAGGCGTCCAGAAACAGAAATTACAGGCAACAGAAGCATTATCACATAGGCTGAGACAAGAGCAAACATAATTAACGCTATACACTGATGGCAGCAGGTAATAGTTAGCTTTAAATTAGCTTAGCGAGTTGCTACCATCCAAAACACGGCAAAATGCCTTAAGCAAAATGGGATGCATTTGCTGAAACAACCAGCCATGGTTGTGGGTGAATAAAATATACCTAAAGGGTGATTCATGACAGCCAAGTATGTAAACTGAATCCAGGCCTGCTGCGTGTTCCACTCTGACTTTAGAGCCAGACAATCCTACGCGCTCACTGACCACAGAGTTCCGCCTCTTCGTGTCGGAGAGGGTGTCAGTGACAGACTGAGTGCAAGGCAATGTGCAGTAATGGCTTTGCTCTGTGGCGGTTGTCTCGCTTGTCCTGAGTCAAACATGATTAAAAATTTGAATTAGCAGGCTGTGGCAGGGTCTCATGATCAAAAGGGCGTCTGAAAGTGCTGTAACTCCTTACAGTGTCAATCAAAAATCACCGCAAAGTGTAGCAGTTAAAGCTTAGTCAATTTAACAATGAACACATTTTATTAACGGAACGTTCTTCACAATAAAGGTCCCAGTTATGCTGTCTTTGGAATGCTTTTATTGTGTCATATCAGGAAAGGAGGTGTGAAAAGAAACCGCAAACCAAACCAATTCCGTTCGAAGCAACTGAACACACAGTGACTTGTAAAAACATCTTCTCTGGTCTAATAAACTTAATTGGATTTATCATAACATCTCATTTAGGTGCATGTAACGGTTCTTTAATTACATGAGCTTATTTGAGATGTTCTTAAAGATAGAAGTTCAATTTCATCTTATTTAAATCATCAAAAAAGGAGAAGAGATGCTACCGATTTAGCTACAAGCTAATTTCTCTCATTAAATTGATTAGATACACATACACTATCTCTCACACATATACACATCTCATTGGAATCATTTAATCACTCAAAAAAGTTGAGAGTAGAAGGTAGAGTGGTTTGTAGAAAATTTTATTTTTGGGGGGTTAGGCTTTATTTTTTATCTAAATTTTTGTGTTTCGTTTATTTTAAGAGTTCATATATTGGGTTTGATTTGAAGTTCAAAGTCGCCTTTTCAATTCATGACATTTTGTTTAATGTTGTCAACCATCACCAGTAGTGTTGAAAATAAACCCAAGCTATACCCAACCCTAGCAGTGCTGTAGAGGGATAAAATGTTCCTCTATCGGAAAATGAAATAACACACTTTGATACTTTGTAGAAATAGGATCAAGGCAAGTGTTTTTTTCTCATACAGACCACATGTCACTTAACCTGCATCTGGACAACAATCAATAGTTTCAAAAAAGTCTGATATCTGTGGCTCTTGGAGGACTGCTACAAGTTTTTTTGTTGGATAATCTTAATTCTCCAGCTTGTTTCTCATACTTGCTGAAGCCTCTCTATGATTTGCCGATTTTCTTTGTCACTAATTACAGTAATTAAACAGTTATTGTGTCATGAGAAATAATTTGAAGATATCAGCTACTGTAGGGCAATGGGATATTTTCTGAACATTGTCCACACTTTTTTAGACTTGATTATTTGAGTAATCATAGAATTACCTTGCTGATGTATGCATTATGGAAAAAAATCGTAAGCTGCATCCCTTGTTCAACTCACTGGTAGCCTATCTAAATCACCCTCCCACCAACACGAGACGACAACAGAGATATATTCATTCCAAAGATTATATCTTTATATTATAACAAAACTTTAGGAGGACCGATTCTGAAAGAGAACCTGACTGGGATTTAGCACACGTGTGATCTTACCTCGGCAAAACAGATGGACCTGCTCCTCTTTGACCACTGGGTGTTTGATGAGGTGGTCGGGGTTCCAACTAAAGACCACTTCCTGGTCAATGGATGAACATGCGTTAAGGGCAAGGACATGCCTTGTTTCCAGAGTCATATTCCAAACATTCAGGTCAGTAATATTTCCAAAAAAGGGCTCTGTGAAATTCCCACCAAATGAGTCTTGGTCCTGACCCAAAATGAGTATCCCATCTCCGTAAATATCCCTGGAAGTGTCCGTGTCTGAGCCCAAGTCCTTTTTATCTCCATCCACATAAATAGCCCAGTGGCCACTGTTACGCCGCCACATGACACAGATGTGATGCCACGCTCCATCATTTGGAAAAGATGCCTTATAAGGCAGGTGCTTCCCATGGATAATCAGTGCCAGGAGGATGCGTCCCTGCTTGTCCACTTGGCCTCTTAGCTGGAACTCATTGGTAATGACAGGTGCAGCGTAGGAAAAGATGGTGGACACCTCATTCCACTCAGAGTTCCACTGAACACGGACACACACACTAACTGAAGACAGGGCTGGAAAAGACATGTTGACACGAACAAACCCCTCGCGGGAATCCCTTGGGAAGCTTAGAGCTGAGAATGGAGAATCTACACAAGAGCAGAAGAAGAAATTCAGCGAAGACATAAATATTCCTTTACTTTCTTTATAGCTTGGGAGAATTTTACCCACATTGCTTTGACAGGGCCACAGGCTTGTTGACCGCCTTGCTGGGGTTTCGAACCCAGATGGGTGTGCGAAGTCCTGTCTGTTGAAGCAGCTCCATCACCCCTTCCCGCTCATCTGATTGGTCGAGGTCGGCAAGGGAGCTGAACTGACCTCTGCAGAAGCTGTCAGCCCTGGAGAAGGCCAGTGAATCATTGACCAGCTGAAATGCCCAGTGAGAAGTTAGATGGGCCAGTCTGGGTTGTCCTGTTGAGGACAAGACACATTCAAAAAAGGTACCTCAAATAGATTTTCAAACTATATTTTACTGAAAGATGTTTAAAAGTAAAGAAGGCAGTACACCAGATAAAGACTGCTGGCCACTGAAGAGCCGATAAAAGCAATTTACAGTCTCACCATGCGAGTCTCCCATTCTGTCTGGCCCAGCATGTGTGGGCTCACTCTCACATACCACCTACAGGACAAGACAAGTTTGAATTATTCCAACAGAGCATTTCTCTGCATTTATTATGAGTAGCATGCACAAACTGGAGTTTCATTTCTCCTGGAATAAACTGGTCATTTCTTAAAACTTCAGGAATTTAAGTAATTACCCAAAGTCGATGTACTTTTTCAAATACATCAGTGGCATCAGGTTAAAACAAGGGACAGAAAACATTTGATACTGCTCTAGTTAAGAAGTTGAGTAAAAGTTGTTACCAAAAAAGCGAAGAGTATGAGTCCAGAATGCAGGGCTCCAATCATGTCTGAGCCAGTGTTGTCTAAAACTGAAATAAACCCACCAAGTATCATCAGAAAATGATACTCCTGCTGGATCAAAATGTACTTCAAGGTAGAAAAGGTCCAGATCTCAGTCGGTTTACAAAATAAACCCAATTGTTATTGATATGCACTCTAATATATATGTGTCAAATGTAGCCTTGACTACTGCATAGCAAGGCAGCCGGAGCCCATTTGCAAGTCGTTTTTTAGCATGTAGTTTCCAATCATCCTGGAAAGTATGTCTTGAGTCATTGTTGCACCCTCAGTAGTAGAATCCACATCTTCCTCCAAAGCAGAAAAAGGTTCCTTTGAGTAATCTGGCATCAAACTCCATGTGTGGTATGATCAAATCCAAATCGGGTCCAGACTCCACACCTAGTACCTTGGCTTCGAAGTGCAGCATATCCAGCAGAGTTTCTGGTCTCCTCAGAGTCAGTAATCCCCAGTGTGTCCGTCCAAGAGTGCTCGTCTGTCTCCTGCCTTCCTTCAGATCCCCCCACCCCTCCCTTTAGTACCCTGAAGCCATCTGCCTTTGTCATGTAAATGCAGTCATTTTTTTAAAAGAACCCTACTTGCGCAAGCAGTGTCAAGCATTTGGCACAGAGAGTAAATCAGGAGAAGCACAGCAGGAGACTTTTTTTTAACCACAGACTACTACAGTACTCTAAAGTTAATTGAAAGATTGGTTTTTATTGCTGCACTTCATAGTCAATTAAACATTAGTACTAGTTGTAAAATTAAAGTACACTGTAGAGTTTGTCTTGGAGCACTTTCATCTGGTGGTTTTGGCAAACATGCTTGAAAAGCTTTTCTGTACCCTCTGACATCAACAGGATTAGCATTACACCCACAAAATCATTTCCTAAAGCAAGTCTTTTTACAAATGAACTTAATAGTTGTATCGATCACAGATGTCACTGGAGCCTGAAATGTAATCTTGGGCAAAAGAAGATAGTTGCACATAGCAAGACTGACTGAGAAGATTTTAAACTGACTAATCAGTTTACTAAGTTATTTTTTCAAAAAAGCTAATGACACAGCTCTTTCAGAAACGACTACACACCTAATGATACTGATGATGACGATATATAGGATGGTTTTAATGCTGATGTTTTGACGATTTATTAACATATCCCAATGTCAGCACCTGTTTGTCAGATTGGACTTTAAGCTGTTTGTTGGGTCCTCCTTTCTAGATGTTTGCTTGTGTTGTACTTACTTTTTGAAGTACCTACTTTAATTTAATTATTTTTTGATAGTATCCTGATTAATAGGTTCCCTTATAGTAATTCATCCTACACAGGTTGCCACACCTTCAAGCACATCCTGTTGTATGGTCCAGTCTATTTTACTCTAAATGGGGGCATATTGGACAATGAACATCATGCTGCACAGACGTCACTTGATACCACAGGTCATAAAACCAATCAATATGTTTACTGAGGTAACAATCTCAGAACCAATCGGCATCATCTTGTATCATCATTGGATAGACGATATATGCCTCTGGGAATGGATGCACAAATTTTTAGAAATTACAGGAAGTCAGTGGTGTTCGATGGAAGATGTGCTACATTGGGTTAAAACTGTTAGGGCTTAATAAAAACTTGAGTTACAAAAAAAAGGACTACAAAATGACTGCAGATGGAACACTTTCAATGCTGAAAATCTAGACCCCTGTGTATAGATTTTAGATTTTAATGTAGAATCTACACACACTGTATGCATTTTGGCTGACGGCAGGAACTATTTAGTTTGTTTCTGTGTTAGTCGTACTTTTTCCTGTTGTATATTTTTCACTGCTCTGCCATCAAACCAGGTGAACTGAAGAGTTTACAATTTACCGCACACTTCTCCAACATTGGCTTCTCATTTTAAATAGATTATTACTTGCTAGCACGGCTTGCAAATCCAAACTTTCCAAAGTGTCCTCTTTCTACTGAACTGATGCTGAACAGTCTCAGAACACTTCTACCGTACTTGAGCATGATTGCCCCCCCTCCCCATTCCCTCGCTGGCCTACAATCACACTGCTCCAGGACTAACCGGGCCTGAGCACTGTTACCTATTGTACATAATGTTGAAATACAACACATGCATAGATTTATGTAATTATGAAGTGTCCTTAATTTTAAGACTACAGACAGACTCAAGAAAAATAAAATTTAAAAAAGGACGTTCTGTTGGGTCTGCCTCCGCACATTGGAGAAAGAAACGAAGAACGAGACAGCTACTTTTCTGTCTTTCAGAATACTCCGGGATTTCTCCATAATGAAGGCTGTCCTCGTTGTGTACACATCTTTTGAAGCATACCTTTTCCAAGCGTGCCAGGGCCAAGGAAGTGTACCATGCTTGAACATGGATCGGAGCACTCACACTAGTCAAACGAACTGGACTTCAGGGGTGAAGTGTACGTATTGCCTAGTGTGAGTGCGTCTTAAGAGGCTATTCACAGTACAGTAATATAATATACAGTTGGATATTTTAATATGTTTAAATGCCACTGTTGCTTTTCTTTGATTTACTCATCAAAAGAACTCCATCCATCTAAATTTTCTTCAACAACCTGGCTTTGAAGAACTCTGAATTAACTCGAGAGAAAAGCGTCATCACAACCCAAATGGTCTGTTAAAGAGAACATCTTGTCTAGCGTGGCTTTACACACACCTGTCTAGACAGACTCCCACAGAGAGACTGATGGACTTAGGAGTTGGACTGCTGAAGTAAAGCCTTCACACCCCAAATGCCCAGAATCTAGTGATCCAGAACAAGATGGATTGAGACAAAGCAGACCATTAGTATTCCTCCTCGGTATCCAGTCAGAGTGTGAAGAGCTGGACGAGAGCCCACAGGAACAAAAGGTCCTGCAGACTGAGACTTCTGGACATCGCTCTCTCTCGTGCCTTACTCTCCTGTCGCCTATTCATCTAAATGCACAAAGCTTTCTCCTTCAGTCACTGTGAAACTTAGCCATGGTGTGAAAACCAACGCATTTACTTTTCAATGTTTGGACTGAATAGAGTGGGCCAGTGATCAACAGGTTTGTGAAGGGAACAATCACATGTTTATGTGTCTGTTAAAAATCCTGATTCAAGTTTTCTTTGCTCAATGTAACTTAGGAAATGTTACCTTTAAGAAGGCCTCATCATCCGCACTACAACACAACACGCTTTCACTTCACACTCGTGGTTCAGTCTGGTTTCTGTATCTGCCTCTCATCAGGAAAGACAAATAAATTAAGTTCAATTATTTGATTATTTGACTTTATCTAATGAAAAATGTTGCAGTTTGGACCTCAGAACAACACAAACATGTTTTAAAAGCTCTTAATAGACATTGTGACACCATATTCTTCAGGCACACATGAGCAACCAATTGAAAATGGCTTTGTGACCCACTTTTGGGTCCCGACCCACCTGTTGAAGGAAACGCACAGAGCATCCAGTCAAATTCAAAATAAAACACAATATACGACCATATTTTTCACAATCAACATTACATCAAAACAGGCACCAAACGAACAACAAATCATCCTCAGAAAGCCAAAGCAACACGTTGTTTGCATGTTTTTCTCTTTATTCCCACGTGCTCTTGTAGTTCTCTTGTGATGTGTGTACAGCTGCTCATGGCTGCGCTGACATTCCAGAAACAGATCCAGTGGGGCAGGACGCGCACCGTCCGACGGATCAAAACTGTGGCGCTGATGGACCACGGACTGTGTGTGGAAAATCAGCAGTAAAGCAGGTGTGATACTAAACTGTTGTATTCAAGACAGAGCTTAGCTGGTAGACAAGCTTTCCATTGAATGCCCAATACATGCTCCAACGCTCACCTTTGATTGCTAGCTTTTGCTAGTGACCAAAAGAATACTCTGTGGATACAAGCAGCCTTAAATGGTTCTCACACTTGCACTAAACTCCTGAAAATCTCCTGTAGGAGCTGTATGTGTTAAAGCAATTACCCTAATTTTTCACTCAGACTTGACCCAGAGTTTCTCCTGCCAGACCCCTTGTATTTTTTCAACAACAAATCAGAGTGAGCTGATGTGAGAAAGCAGCAGGATATTATCCAGAGAATTCAGCTCGAGCCAATGAGAGGGGGGAGAGACGTTTATATCCTGTGATTGTCGCATGGTGCACACAGTGTGTGCACGCGACCACTACGATCCCCATGCACGTAATTAAATGGCTGCATTAAGTTTTGTGTTCTCCAGTATGTTCTCCGCTCATTTGTTGATAGTGTGATTCTGTTGAATAATGGGCGAGAGTTAGAGTAACTTAATATGGAGTTACTTGCGTATTCTGCTGCAATATAACACAGACCCAAACATGTAGGAAAATTATGTAAGCATACAAGGATGATTCTTGATACTTTTAAATAAAACCTACAGCTGGATGTGGCAGTGTGCGCTCCAACAGCCAGCTCCGCTTACTTTTCTAGTGTTTGCATTTCAGTGTTTTCTGTCATCTCTATTGTCAAAGAAAATAAATGTTTAGTTTATAGTTTTGATATGACTGAACTAGAAGCAATTAAGTTTAACTGTTTGGAAGAACAACCTCAAAGTGGCCACTTAACCCCCCCACACACACAAACACATATGCTACTGAAAAACATGCTACTATTTTTTTTTAAATATTTATTTTGGGCTTTTCATGCAGAGGGAGGACAGTGGATAGAGTTGGAAACCAGGGAGAGAGAGTGGGGAATGACATGTGGAAAGGGGCCACAGGTGGAAGTGAACCCAGGTCTACTGCTTGAGATGAGAGTCTCAATATATGGGACGCGTGCCCTAACCATTGCGCCACCAGTGCATTCACGGAACATGCTACTATTTAATGAAGTCACAGACATAGAGGGCCACTAGATGTATTGGGTCAAGGAATCTAAACTTCTTCTTTTTCTGAACATTTCAACAACAGACAAGGTTTTACTTTTCTTGCAATGACAATGAATTAATGCACAAATTAAATTTGTTCTCTTTA